GTGTGTGTGTGTGTGTGTGTGTGTGTGTGTGTGCGTGGGTGTGTGTGTGTGTGTGTGTGGGAGGTGAATGAATGGCATGCAGTCAGGATCAGTGCATGACAGTTTCTAAAGACAGGGGACGCCAACTACAGACCCTAAATATTGGGATGCGTATCATCAAGGCATCTACATCAGGTACCACTCATCCGAAGAGCTGCAAAAATGTTTGAATTCAACCTTTCACCCAAAGCCTGGAGTGCTGGAGGACGCACTTCCTTTTCACAGCAACAGCAGCAGCAGCAGCAGCAGCAGCAGCAGCATTTGTGTCATCATGGGTTTTAATGGTGTGAACAGGCGGATGCGTTTTGGGTGGTACATAGTCAGTACTACTGCACACTCTAGTTCTCAATACTTACAGTAATGCGACTGCTACGAATATTACAACGACGACGCCTACTACTTCTGCTACTCCTGCTGATGCTGCTACCACCAACACAGCCACCACCACCACGACTATTCCTACTACTACTCCTACTACTGCTGCTGCTGCTGCTGCTGCTGCTACTGCGACTGCTACGGCTACTACTGCTACTACCGCCGCTGCCGCTGCGGCTGCTGCCTCGACGGCGATGAACGCGACAACTACTACGATGAGGACTACGGGCCTGAGGACAGTCATGGTCCAACTTTCTTTCCGCCATACAAATATGCGATGCAACACAAACCACAAACAACCAGCGCCAAGTAACAGCTAGATCCTTAAAAGGCTCCTTTAAACTTACCTTTGGCTAGTAGGGAATGGAAGAATATTAGTAATACGGTTGATGATATAAATCCTGCATTACCCATAATAAGGAATATATGGGAATTATGGCATATTCCTTATTATGGGTCATGCAGGATTTATATCATCAACAGTAGTAGTGATAATTGTACCCCGCAATGCAACCAAGCAGCCGGAAGCCCCCGGACATGCAGGGACCTGTAGAGCCCAAGAGTGAGAAGCGGTGATGATTGCCTATAGTCTCCATTGTAGTTCCTTTTTTAGTTAACCAGTTTTATGGTAAGGCATTGTAGTTCCTTTTTTAGTTAACCAGTTTTATGGTAAGGACCCTATAATAGAGATTTTGGTTAAAAAGAACTACAATGGAGACTATAGGTGGTATGCAGACCGCTTCTGACATGGGGGATTCCAGCCTTCCAGTGGTCCTACTCGAGTGGCATGCTTCAGGACGAAGAATGAGATTGAGCGACAGAAGTCTTGCTTTACATGGCTATCCAAAAACCACCAAAACCTGCGCTGTATATCTGCAACTTAGCGGAGACTTGTCTTGACATGTCTTAACCGGATGTAAGAACAGCCCCTGTGACTTTACAAGGGATCTTTAAGATCAAAGTGGCTTTGGTTTTCCGCGTTCGGGGTGCAGGGGGGCGTGCTCCCAGACTCTTAGTTGGTTGGATGCAGAATCCGACTTGACCCCTGCATCCCCTTGATGACAAAGAGTACCCCTTCTCCTACAGTTCAGTTCAGTTCGAACCAAGAGATCCCAGAGGAATCAAGGGTAACAGTAGTTACGAAGAGCGCAGGAGACTTAACAAATAATGGCTAACCGTACCTCAAATTAAGATAAAGCTAGTTACAATTGCAAGTACCATACTCACTAAGTCCCTGATCCTTTAAGTCCCCCCCCAACACCAAACAAGCCTGAACCCATCAAGATACCCAAGGAACCCCAAACACCAACTTACTCAGCCCCCTAATCCTGATCCTTTGAGTAATTAGAGTCGAGTTGGGGTTTGGGGTTTAGGGTTTAGGGTTCTAAAGTTACGGGGTGTAGGAGTGTTTTGGGTTTTGGGGGGTTTAGGAGCGCAACTACCCTCAGAGCCGAGCGACTCTCGACACGGCTCGCAGCAAGGGACAGAGAAACCAGATTGTTGAAGCTGGAGGACGCCTTCCTGACATGTCGTGTCTGTGGCTTAGAGAGTTTACCCTAAGGCTCAAAATAGCCCAAAAAGCCTTACATAGTATGGTCTTTGGGCCCAAAAGCCTGTAAATATGGGTCCTTAGAGCCCAAGGGTTAGGCTGCAGAAACGTGCTGCTGCTGTGCCTCAGTTCAGTGTAGCTTCAGTTTAGAGACTACCTTTAGTCTCCATTGTAGTTCCTTTTTTTGGTTAACAAAAATCTCTATTATAGGGTCCTAACCTAACCATAAAACTGGTTAACCGTAAAAAGGAACTAAATGGAGACTATAGGTATAGGATGCCCAGTAACCTAGGAATAGAAAGGGCCGCCTTTTTGGTATTGGGTAACTTTATGAGGAACCTAAAACTACAAAGAGGGAATAAGGGTAGTATTGGGCAACCCAGGAGAAGAAAAGAATATTAAAGGTTCTTCTATAATCAAACTTCGCGATGGGCTCCTTAGGATCGCGGGAACGAAGTTGCACCGTATTTTGCAACAGGTGCATCTCATTGTCTTAGATGTACTGTGAATTAGGACAATCATGGGGAATGCGATACACAGTATGGACGACGCATGGGGTGAACCCTACATGCAAGCCCTGGGCCCTAACGCTTCAAGTCCTAAGTTTATCCATCTAAGTACAAAAAACCTACAATCCTAATCCTAACTATAGTCTCCATTGTAGTTCTCTTTTTGATTAACCAAAATCTCTATTACATAGGGTCCTAGCCATAAAACTGGTTAACTAACAAAAAGGAACTACGATGGAGGCTATAGGTAAACTCTCCTTCGTTGTCCAGGAAGGGTTTCTGTGGCCAACTTCACCGGCCCTAAACCCTGAAGCCTGAAACCTAAGCCCTAGGCGAAGGAGGATCCGGAGATGGGCACGCCATCTTCGAAAAGGGCCCTGAAGCCTAAACCCCCAAAAGTAGGTAGAATAATGGCCCAACACTTGTAAAATGCCATTATTCTACATACTTTCGCCTAGATGGGGGAGGATCCGGGGGATCCGGCCCATCTTCCTAAGGAGCCTGAACACCTTAAACCCGGAACCCCTGGCTTAAGGCTTTGGGGTTTAGGGGTTTAGGGTTTGGGGTTTAGGGTTCAAGGTTTTCGGGTGTGTAGGGACCCTTAGCCCCTCGTGCACTTTGGGACCCTTGCGAGGGTATAGAGCCCAAAGGCTCCATGTACCCTTATAGTAGGTACTTAGGCCTTAAAGGGGTCCCTATATAGGTACTTTAAGGCCTAAGTATCTACTATAAGGGTACATGGAGCCTTAGGGGAGTTGATGGGGTGAAGTAAGATAGGATCAAAAGTCTCCGGAGAGTGTTGTGCAGTGCGAAGTCCTCCAAGTCCAGCCATACAGGGTTTAGGATTTAGGGTACACCCCAATCCATCCCAGCATACCCAAAACTCTCCAACCTTCATTAGCGAACTTCGAAGACTCAACTCTCAAACATTCTCAAACCGTAAATTGGAAGCCCAAACCCTCAAACAACAAAACTCATACTGAACCGACTTGCCAAGGCTCCGAAACTTCTTGCGCGAGCAGAGTGGTCTCGGGGACTGCGGAGCGGACATGATCCTGGCCTGTGCATAGAAAAGGGTTTAGGGCGTAAGGGCTTAGGGATGTTGATATGGGAGTTTCCGAAAATTAGAGGTACCTTAATTTGGGAGCCTTATATTTAATAAGGATCCTACTATTTAGGGTACCATATTAGGGTCCCCTATTTTCGGAAACTCCCATCTGGAGCGACGTCTCGTTTTCCATTCCGCTACTCCAGCTTGGAGTCGTACCCGTGGCTCCTGAAACTCCCACCTACCCCTGCTTGTCGTTTAGGGCTTAGGGTGGGTCTCGAATGAATAAAGACCCTCAAGAAAATCCAAACGACACCATCCGACCCAGCCCAGTTCCCCCGAAAGACCCCGGCGATGTCACGCGGGAAGACGTACAACGAGACCGGGGACAGGATCCAGTGCGACGAGCCCCTCGGTAGTCTCTCCTACTTGTCGGGTATCATGGGGAACTAAAGGTTACCCTTTTTGGTCATATAGCGATTATATAGGGACTATACTACCCAAAACAGGTTAAAGGTTCCCTACTCTACTACTAGGTACCCCTTCTGAACCCTTAACACAGCCTGTTAAAACACCTAAATCCCTAAACCTCTAAATACTCTAAATCGTAACTCCAAACCGCATACCGTAGCCAACACTTGGGTCGCTCTCTGCAAACCTACATCCCGGAATCCTCGAGTTGGAAGCCCTTAAACCCTGAAAGGGCATGGCACGTAGTAGGTAGGGTTCGAAGTACCAAAGTTGCGCTAGGAACGAATTAGGTGTGCCGGTACCTTCGTTATAGCCCCCACTACTAAGTCCCCCGATCTTTGAAGTACACCTGGAAGGGGCGTGCAGTTCTCGACGCTGTCCACCATTAGTTCTCTCTACAACGAACGGTCGTGCAACTCCAGTAGAACCATAATAAGGAACTCTAGGAAAACCATTGATTATTCAGACCCGGACGTTGGCTGTTAGCTTCGGTCAATCAATGTAGTCCTTGCTGAGGTACGGAATCTACTTGAACAAGGGTCTACATGAATCTCTTACTTCATGTCAAATTGCAGGTTGACCTTAAACCCTCCAACCCCCTAAAGCACCGCGTGGAACGCTGTGAAAACGCATGACATGGCCCCGCCGGCGCATCCGCACAGTCCTCTGATCCTGGGCGCCGGGGCCAGGAAACCCTTCAGGTCCCTACTTCAGGTTTCGGCTTAGGGTTTACGGTTTAGGGTTTAGAGTTTCGGGTTTACGGTGTTCGTAGGGCCTTGATGGAAAATAGTATATTTTCTGGGTCTTTTGTGCGCTATATTCTTACCATGCTGAATACAAGTATCGCACCGCTGAAGTATGGTGATGAGAAATCCCTGACACCGTCGTTGACTGGATTATGCAATCACAATCAAATAGCGGAATACTGTGAACAAGCCCTAAAATGGGCTAAACCAGAAAAGGAACCAGTATGCAGACTGTAGGTAACCTAAACCCTTAACCCTACACCCTAAGCCGCTGCCGCCACGGCACCAGGCAGAGTCAGAGTTGCAGACTTCTTCCTGAGCTTCTTTTCATTTCGGATGCGGGTTTCGAGTTTAGGGTTTCTCCACTTGCTTCTGCCATAAGCGGCATAGCCGCGACTTAAAGGGTCATGACCTGCTACTTTCCCGTGTTATTTCGGCATTCGTTATGAATGCGTCTGGGTTGATATACCAAAGTCTGTGTTTATGTATGTAAATGTATGTGTGTTTCTATATACCCAAATATCCTATATCATTTGAAGCCCCGTTGAAGCCGGCCTCAGATTGGCTTCACCGGCTTCACCATGTTGGGGTTCATATGGGAGTTTCCGAAAATAATGGGACCCTAATATAGTACCCTAAATAATATGATCCTTATAATAAGGACCCCAGAATATGGTACCCCTAATATTCGGAAACTCCCATATGTGAGATGGCTCCCACCCGATATACAGACTCGAAGGGTGCAGCTACATAAGGGATGGCAGGTTCGGGGCTCGGGGATGGGATGAAGGGTAGCCGGGATGGGGCACACCACTCGAGCTTCGGGTTTTGGGGTTTGGGGAGAATTTGGGCTTCGTGCTCATAGACTACCAAGCCTGGTATATGGGCCCGTGCTGCAGTAATTCCCACCTCTGGTCACCTACCCGGCAAGAACAACAAACTCCAAAAGTGCAAGAATCCTACAGCCGTAAAATCTCTGACAGCCCTGAACGCATCACGGCCTGAATCATTTTTTTAAATAACAATACCTGCAGCAGATCGAGAACACCCGAAGGAAGCCCACTGTTCCGTGCTCACGACTCCAACCGGTCTTCGGCAAAGTCTGTCCGGACGCAGCAGGTGCAGTTTGTACTGCTCTGACCTCCACGAGACCACCCCTCGCCCGGACTACTAAACCCTGAACTTACTCTGGAGGGCCGTTTGCTAATAGGAAGAAGCTCAAGGTGAACTACCCTGAACAAGCTCCAACTGCCTGCTACTAAGATTAGGGCGGCTTATGGTTCAGGGTCTAGAGTAAGGGTTTTGAGTTTAGGGTTTTGGGGTTCAGGGTTTGGGTCCAGGGTTTAGGGTTTTGGGTTTAGGGTTTGCGTCTCAGGGAGCCTAAAGCTCTCACCCCATATCAAAGGGGAAAAGGAGGGACCCTTAACGGGGACCCCTACCCTATAATGGGCTACATAATGGGTATATAATGGGTATATAATAGCTATATTGAGGGTATATACCTAAGGGTCCTTATTAAGGGTCCCTCCTTTTACCCTTGGACCATAAGCTAGGCCCGGGAGTAATATATTCCTTATCCCTAGGCATCTACGGACTCATGTATTAAGGCTTTTGGGCCCAAAGACCATACTATATAAGGCTTTGGGCTGTTTTGATGCCCAGTGTATTATGGGTTTTATATCATCAACAGCATCACACCTCCTGAACCCTTTAAGTCATCAAACTGGAACCCTAACACTTGAACCTGGTTGGAACCAGGTTTTTTGGGGTTCAACCCTCCTTGTGGCTGGCATAGAACCTGAAAAAGTAGCCCTCATTAACAATAGACCTGTGTCTGTTTGGCTGAAGGCTAGGGGGGCATCTATCTTAATCTTCGGTTTAGGGGCTCTGGGTATATACCTGCAGCCTCCACTGTAGTTCCTTTTCTTGGTTAACCAGGTTTATGGTTAGGACGCTATAGAGATTTCGGTGAACCAAAAAAAGGAACTACAATGGAGACTACAGGTAAACCGTCAACCCTGGGCATGAACGCTAAAACGACAAGCCTCAGACCCTGAACCCCAATGATGCTACAGAGGTGTCTATAATGCAGGGGCATCAATGGATAGACGAGGGTTTGAGGGAATATTCTACTACAGTTATAATATGGAGTTCTAATTGTCAGGGCCCCTACATTATAATTGCTACTGGTATTCTCTGTCCGTACAAGACTTGCTCCAACACCCGAGTTCAACTGTATGCATGCCCCTTCAAGCCTTCAAGCCCTTTCATTAAAACACAACTTCTGATCTCCTATACAACCCTCCAGAACCCCCCCCCCCCCCACCCCCTGAAAACAGGATTCTGACTATGAGGGAAGGGCCGGCTGTGACAAAGGCCCTCCGTCATGGCCCGCTACGTCTGGAATGCCTGGCACAGTGGCTTGATGTGGAGTACAGGGGTTGGTGCTGTTAGGGCCTGTAAAATTTGGGCGTGGAGGTGCAGGGTGCAGGGCTGTAGGCGTTTGGAGCTGAAGGGTTTTTAGGCCCAGGAACGCCGGGAGGCAACTTACACATCCATGATACCCTAAGGCTCCATGTACCCTTATAGTAGATACTTAGGCCTTAAAGTACCTATATAGGGACCCCTTTAAGGCCTAAGTACCTACTATAAGGGTACATGGAGCCTTTGGGATAGTCATTGCTGAGAGAAACCCCGCTTTACACGATGTACGTGTTAAGGATCCTTGAGGGTGTGCCTTCGCGGGTCTTTTTTCAACTGCTGGAGTACCTGGTTGAGAACCTATACACGCCTTTAGGGCTTAGTCTGGGCTTATGGTTCGTAGATGCTTGTAGCTATGCCCATCAATACTGCTATTGCTGCGACTGCAGCTGGTACTGCTGATGCATATAGTGGAGAGTGAAGCCGTTCAATGATCATCCTTGCCATCACAACCACAATGAAGACACACCAATGTCCTAACAAATGAGACATTGCGACATAGAGAGATGCAGACTCACGAAGCATGGATGAGGGAAGGCTCCGATAACCAGCGGTACAACATAAGGTTGACAGATAAAACTTCCTGACCCGAACCCTGTCACCTTCTGGGATTCAGAGTTTACGGTTTAGGACGCTGACTGCCCGCTTTGATGTTCTCCAATGTCCAGAGACTCATGCAAACCATTCCTAAGCTTCAAGTCCTGCACCTCGGCGCTTGCAGAGACCCATGCAGAGTACCCCTTGATAGAACATAAAGTGAGGAAACTCTTATAGAACCCGTATGGTAAGCCAGATCCCCAAAACTCCATCTGCGACCCTCCTAAACCCCTCTCCCTGAACGCTGAACCCTAAACTCCCCAAAACTAAACCCCGACTTGCCGCCAGAGTGCTTTCACTCTTTGAAGGAAGACGAGAGTGACCAGAGGACTGCTTGCTCCTAACAGGGTATAGGTTTAGGGTTTAGGGTTTGGGGTTTGGGGCGGGCTCGAATCCTCACTACTTGGCAGGATCAGGGGTATGTAGTAGCAAGTCATGTTTAACATACCAGGTCGGTGTTATAACGAACTTTTCGCCACTTGATGCGATTCTGATGCTGCGGCTGCGATACTTGTGGTAGACACCGAACCCTAAACCCCAAACCGGAGCCCATGAATGTTTCAGCCCTAAACCCCAAGCCCTGCCTCCAGTCTCCATTGTTGTTCATGGTTTTGGTTAAACCAATCCCCAAGGGTCCAAAGGACCCAAGAATTAGGGTCCCTATTTAAAGGGTTCTATAAGGTTCCTTTAAAAGGGTTACTACAAGTAGAAGGGTTCTACTAGAAGGGCCTTAATAATTAGGTACTCGGTTTTCGGATGGTAGTTACGTAGGTTAGGATTTTGGAGAGTATATGATTATTGGGTACTTGGACCCTTGGGGAATTGTATACAGGATGCTCTACGTAAGCTAACCCGGAAAACAGAACTACAATGGAGACTGATACGTAAACCCCAAAGCCGAACCTGCTCGACTTAATCAGGCTGCAATCGCTGGTTGAAGATTTCGGGAACCCATGAAGAACAGCTCAATTTGCGAGTTCCAGAAAACAAGCGACCCAATGAAGATCCTCAGTGGTACTGCCGGGGCTTGAAAAACTAGCCAAGATATTTGTTAGGGCTCGCTCTCTATTATACTTATAAACCCTTAACCCTAAACCCCTAAACCCTAATATACTATACTATGCTGCACAGCTCTATCCGTACTAAGAAGTCTCAAGGCCACTATATTAGAGCATCCGGGCATTGGGGCCCCCAAGACAAGGACCTCTGAGGGATCCCGTACTTCAAGAAGCACCGGTTCTCCTCTTCGGGGACAGCGACGCAGACACGCTGTCCTGTGCGAGACAAGACGCGACTTTGTCCGTGAGCTTAGTCCGAGCCAGGGTGCAGAGTGTACCTTTATAACCAAACAACACACTTTTTGTAGGGTTCTCATCATTCCCTGTGTGAGTCAGTTATGGTAGACTAAGGTACAGTGTGTAGTTTATACCCGAGACTCTGCGCTAGATGTTTGACTATCGTGCTTTTTGGTACTGCTGAGCTTCACCTGCTATGCGAATCCGCTCAAACCCTAAAGTCCCAAACATGAAACCCCCCACTCACTAATGCGGCTGCACGCATATCCGTGGAGTAGCATAGTTTAGTTAGTGGCCTGAACATTAGACTAATTCGGAGGCTTAGGATTTCTGATTTTAGTGTCTAGAGGATTTGGGGTGTCTTTGCATTATAGTCCAAGTTTCGGGATCCAGAACACCAAACCCTCAACCCTAAACCCTGCAAACCCTCCACCAAAAACCCTAGGCTACCCCAACACCCTGAACGAAAACAGCCCCACAGCTCCGTTTACAGTGATATCGTCTCGGGTTTAGGGGTTAAGAAGACTGGGCTTACGGCAACATGAATCACCTTAGGGCCAACACAATTGGAGAATGGACTTAAGGTGGAAGGCAGATGCAGGGATGGTTTCAATGACATGACATGCATCCTTTTAAAATTTGGTAGTACTTGGTAGAGCTGCATGCCGGAACCAAGGACACTGGGAGCCTGCTCAGCATCAGCAGACTCTGATGTAAACATCGATCAGTAGGACCATCATGTTAGACAGAAGTCTGCACCGTAATCCCCTTATACACTCTTCCCTAACTCCCTAGGCCCTAAACCGCAAACCTCTAAACCCTAAAAGATTAACCCTAAACCCTAAACCCTGAACCCTAAACCCTAACCCCTGAACCCTAAACCCTAAACTCTGAACCCTGAAACCCTAAACCCTGAACCGATTAGCCCTGAGCTTCACTCGCACAGCCCAGCACAGGCATGAAAACGGTATATGACTGTGGTTCCGGGATTAGGGCTGAGGCTTTAGGAGTTTAGGGTTCGGGTGAGGGTTTAGGGTTTGGGGTTTGGGGTGGTGTGAGACCCTAAACCCTAAACCCTATAAACCCTAAACCCTAGGCCCTGAAGAAAACAAGTAGTTGCCAGAACCTGGGGTACCAAAGGAACCATTACTCGGACCGGGTCCTGTAGCCTAACATATGGGCGGTTGTCAAAACTATGGCCCCTTTTTGGGGTACCCTAAATATTAGGTGCTGTATTATAATAAGGACCCAAAAAGGGGCAATAATTTTGACAACCACCCCTTTGGGGTCCCAAATAATTAGAAATAGAATCGGGTTTGGGGGCCCATTACTGTAGACTATACTTACAACAAAGGAAGCCCAAAATGGTGGTGGTACTTATTTCGGCTCCTTTTTCTCTTTGCAACCCGGTAGTTGCCCGACGCTTGAGGGCTTAGGATGCAGGGTACTCTGGGGCCACCAGCCTTTCACCCCAAATGCATCCCTGAACCCTAAACCTAAACCTTAAACCCTGAACTATCCAACAATTGATGAATAATGATACACCCTAGACCCTAAACCTAATGCTTGAACCCTAAACCCAACAATTGATGACACACTAAATCCTAAGCCTAACGCTTAAACCCTAGCCCTAAACCTAATAATTGAGGATGCTCCCTAAACCCTGAACCTAACGCTTAACCCCTAAACCAAATAATTGAGGATCGAGGCCTCCAATTCAGGGTTCAGGAAACCCGCCTGAAGCTCTTTTGGGCTGCAAGCTGCTGAAGATTTCGGGAATTGTCTGGAAAGCGGTTTGGGGCCTTTGTAGTATAATCATGCAGGAACCATACAAGATACTCTTACCATAGGTAGTCTCACTCCTAGATGAGCGTGCTAAACACGGCACCCGGTTAGCTTCGTGCTTTGGCTTCTGGGATCACTCCGCGAAAAGAGGGCGAATCCAAACCTGCAACACTTACTTACTTGCTTACTTCTTAACTTGCTAACTAACTTACTTGCTTAATTGCTCACGTACGTACTTACTTACTTGCTTACTTCCTTACTTCCTTGCTTATTTGCTTCCTTGCTTGCTTGCTGGCTTGCTCGTTTGCTTTGCTTGCTTGCTTGCTTGCTTACATATTTACTCGCTTCATTACTTATACTTACCTGCTGATTACTACTCATACTACTTCGACTCCTACTGCTCTTCCTGTTGGGGCTCCAGCTCCCGTTCCTCCTCCTCCGCCTCCTTCTGCTGCTGCTACCCCTCCCGCTCTGGTTGCTATTGCAATTGCGACTACAGTCCATATTCGTCGTTTTGCTGCGTCGGAATTGCAACCATAAACTTGCGTGATAATGGCAGCGCCTGGTTTTTTTCGGTAAAACCCTGGACTACAGCTTCGCAACTAAAGAACCTGCGCGCGATATCCTGAAACAGAGGCGTTTGTACTTGGACCGGGCCTATGGTCGCCAGTTGTAAAAATTGCAACAATTGCGTTCAAGAACGCTAAGGACAGACATCACCACACATCGAGCAAGGCCAAGAACTGCGGTTGATGAAATAAATCTTGCATTACAGATAATAAGGAATATATGGGAAATATGGTTTATTCAGTATTATGGTCATGCAGGATTTATATCATGAACCGTAGTTTCAGTAAAGCATGACGGGTGGCAGGGGCCAAGACATGACACCAACAGCAACCGCAACAGCTAGTCCTGCTCCTACTCCCAGCCCCAGTCCTACTCCTACCCCACTCCCACTCCCACACTGCTACTACTACTACTACTACTACTACTACTACTATTACTACTACTACTACTACTACTACTACTCCTACTACTACTACTCCTACTACTCCTACCCTACTACTATACTACTCCTACTACTCCTACTACTCCTACTACTACTTCTAGGGAGCGACCTGGTCGTTTGCCCACCCTTCTTTCCTCCTGTACCCCCTTGCCCGCCCAGGTTCGTCTTCCTCGTGGCCATGGTGTCATGCATACATGTAACCGACGTACATACGTACATACATGCATTTGTACATGTATACCTACATACGTGCATTCATGCATACGTGCATACATGCATTTCCGCATGTATAACGTCCAGATCAGACCCCATCCATGCCCGCAGAGCATCCATGTGCCAACCATGATCACGTCCAGATCAGACCCCATCCATGCCCGCAGAGCATCCATGTGCCAACCATGATAACGTCCAGACCAGACCCCATCCATGCCCGCAGAGCATCCATGTGCCAACCATGATAACGTCCAGATCAGACCATATCCATGCCCGCAGAGCATCCATGTGCCAACCATGATAACGTCCAGATCAGACCCCATCCATGCCCGCAGAGCATCCATCTGCCAACCATGATAAGGTCCAGATCAGACCCCATTCATGCCTGCGGAGCATCCATGTGCCAACGCTTGTCGTGTTCCTGACTGAGAACGTCGGGATCGAACCCGTCGTGCAGGCTTTCACTTCTTTCCGCGCGGCCTGTCAGGATCGCCTGCCGCCGAAAGACCAATGGGACACAGCTAAGCGTGTGTGTCAGCGGACGTGAAAGCGAACCAAGCACTAATCTTCCAATCTTGTTTCGACTATAGTCCCAAAAACACGTAAAACGACAAAGTCCGCGACGAACTTGGAAGGCAGTGCAAAGCGCTTTCTTGAAGGAGAGTCACAGGGCTTCGACAGCAGAAAACACTGCCCTGGCCGAGGTTTTCGTGTCCTCACTCTTAAGCCTGCCCTCAGCCTTCCATCTTTGGCAGCACACAAAGCCTGCTCCAAACTTTCCAATTCCGATGTCATTTGCGACACCTTTGCAAACGCCATACCTCTCGTCAATACCGACTAAAGTCAAGCAGACGCAAGAACAACGGTGGGTAAACGATGTGCCTTGTGCCTACTACTACTACTACTACTACTACTACTACTACTACTACTACTACTACTACACCTACTACTACAACTACTACTACTACTACTACCACTACTACTACTACTACTACTACTACTACTACTACTGCTACTGCTACTACTGCTGCTACTACTACCACTACTACTACTTCTACTTCTACTTCTACTACGACTTCTACTGCTCCTCCTCATCCTCCGCCGCCCGCGGTGTATTATCTACAAGGCCACAGCAACAACCACTGCTGCCACTAGTACTAATACACTTGAATACTTTATTTCTTCAGAAACTGGCAAGGTGGATCTGACAGTTCTGGTGAATTCTGGTGGGTTCCTGTTCGGGATTGATGTTGAGTTACCATAGATAATGAAACCACATTATTTACTAACTTACTATAGAAACCCTGCTGTGGTAGCTCAAACTTCGTATGCCCTAGACCCCGAAACCCAATACCCTAACAAGAGCCCAGTTCTATGTGCCGACGGGGCGCCGCGAACTCCTGGATCGGCGTCGCTGTGAGCTTGTCCCGACGATCGCCAGCTTCCCATATCCATCCTTAGAGGGCTTGCATGGGGTGTTTGTGACAGCCCGATTGGGGGAAGCACCCCCCAGTGGGTCCAAGCACCCAGAAAGTAGGGTTTAGGGTTTAGGGTAAACCCTAAACCCTGAACCCTAAACCCTAAACCCTCAACTGGAGTAGGGTACTAAGTCCCAAACTCTATACGGTTTCGGGCTCCAGCTCCGAATCTGCTTGTTGGTACCGAAGACTCCTGCAATTTGACCACCTGGGCCCTCAGGTCCGATCCCGTACCAAGCAACTCAACAAAGTTCACAGGGTCCTAAGCAGTTGCACTACTGCTGATGATATATATATATATATATATATATATCCTGCATTACCTTCAGGACCCTAAACTATGGGAATAATGGTATATTCCTCATTAGGGGTAATGCGGGATTTATATCATCAACCGTAGGATGATCAGTAACCTAGGAATAAAAAGCGCTCCCTTTTTGGTATTGGGTAACTTTATCAGGAACCTAGGACTACAAGAAGGGAATAAGGGTACTACTGGGCATCCGAGTGCAATGGTGGTACGAAGTAGGCTTGTCGTAGGAATCACTAGAATAAGGTTTGTGGAAGAAAGCCTGTGCCGGTACCTTCGAAAGCTGATCCATCAAAAATGCACAGGTAAAGACAAGGAGTCTAAAGTCACGTAACTACATGGGAGTTTCCCAACATGGGGTACCCTAATCTAGCACCCTAAAAAGTAGGAACCCTATTCTGAGGATCCCAAACTAAAATAAAATAAGGTGCCCCTAATTTCCGAAAACTCCCACATCATGCTCTGACTGAAACATCAAAACCCCCGAACCTATAGCCCGGCAAGCTCCAGGACCCAAACCCTAATCTAAAACCCTAGACCCAAACTACTAAACCCACACACCTAAACCTTAAACCCTAAAACCTCAAACGCTGAACCTAAGAATGAGTGGACATCTTCCTGCAAGCTGCTAATCCTGCTAAGCCCGGAACCCTAGATCAGAGTTTCTTCCTTAAGACTGACTGGATTTCTTCTTGCAGTTCGAAGAAGTGACAAGCACCCTGCACACCCTAAACCCTACATCCCTAAACCCTGAAACCCTACACCTAAATTTATCCCTAAACCCTAAACCCTAAACCCTAATTCCTAAACCCTAAACCCTAAACTCTAAACCCTACACCTTTCAATCCCTAAACCCCAACCCTGAAACTGAATACCTATACCCTAAACCCTACAACTTTGAACCCTAAAAACCCTGCCCCAAACCCTCTTCCTGCAGCCCAGAATTTCCGAAAATAGGGGGAACCTAATATAGCACCCTGAATAATAAGACCCTTATTATAAGGACCCGAAAAATAATACCCTACATAAGAAGACCCTTATTATAAGGACCCTAAAATAGTACCCTAAATTTTAGGATCCTGAAATACTGTAAGGTACCCCTAATTTTCGGAAAACTCTACACCCTAACCCTAAACCCTTTACAGCTCCCTTTAAAGGAACCCTTATAGTACCCTTATGGTAACCCTAAAATAAAGTACCCCTATAGTTTGCAGACGAAAGAGGCGAAGAACATGTCCGATGGCCCAGGCATAGGCGGCCCAGCAAGCCGTGTTCAGCAGTGTAAGCCCTGGCAGTGGCGCTGTGGGGAGGTGTGGGGGTTTAGGGTTTGGGGGTGTGGGGGTTTCGGGGTTAGGGTTTGGGGTTTAGGGTGTGGGAGTTTAGGGTTTGGAAGTTTAGGTTTCGAGTTTGGGGTTTTAGGGTTTGGGGGTTTAGGGTATAGGGTTTGGGGTTTAGGGTTTGGGGGTTTATGTTTCGGGTTTGGGGTTTGGGGGTTTAGGTTTCGGATGTGGGGGTTTAGGGGTTTGGGGGTTTAGGTTTCGGGTTTGGGGGGTTTAGGTTTGGGGTTTGGGGTTTTAGGGTTTGGGGGTTTAGGATGGGGGAGTTTAGGGGTTTGGGGGTTTAGGTTTCGGGTGTGGGGGTTTAGATTTGGGGTTTAGGGTATAGGGTTTTGTTGTTGAAGTTGATGTGCACCCCTTTCTCCAAAGCGGCGCTGGCATTTTGCCCTCAACCTACTGAAACAGAACCACCTGTAGCTGTAGACGTCACCGGGGTTAGGGTTTAGGGGTTTAGGTTTCGGGGTATAGGGTTTGGGGGTTTAGGGCTTGGGTGTTTAGGGTTTGGGGGGTTTAGGTTTCGGGTTTGGGGCTTCGGGTTCTTCTGCGCTCCATGTGGGAAGTGTTAGCCAACAGTGAGACCAAGGCAATGTACCTATAGTCTCCATTGTAGTTCCTGTTGCTGGTTAACCAAAATCTCTATTATAGGGATTTATAGGGTACTAACCATAAAGCTGCTTAACCAAAAAAGGAACTACAGTGGAGACTCTAGGTATAAAGAGCTCCAGTGACTTGGTAAGCCCTTGAAAGAAGCAAGGGCGCATGACTCAGAAGTCTGCGTTCAAACCATATTATAGCGCCCTTCAAGTAACTAGCTACGTTCAAGGACCCTACACAGCGCAAATGACAACTCGTAATCAAATCCTAGGATCACAGCTCTCTTGAACCAATAGCCACCTATATATAGGGCCCCAAAAAAGCACATAAGCAAAAAATTAGGATAGGGATAGCCCATATAAACTCCCTTATAATGAAGCCCAATAAGGTAGGGATATCCCCATAAGATGATTATGCTTCTGTGTTTTTTGGGTCCCTACACCCAGACCCGGAACCTTACACTTATAGGATCCTTAAGGGAGGGTGGTTCAAGGGGGGAGGGTATAAGGAATCCTTAAAAACTATAAGGGAACCTTAGGGAGTACTAGGGAGGATTAGGGATCACTAGGCTATATACCACCCTTGGACCCCCCTCCCTTAAGGATACTACAATAAACCCTCACCCGGAACCTGCAACCGCAAACCCTGTCCCCAAGGGTCCAAGTACCTAATAATCATACACTCTCCCAAATAGGAACCTACGTAACTACTATCCTAAACCCAAGTACCTGATTACTGGGTCCTTTGGACCCTTGAGGTGTAGCATAAGCCCAACAGAACACTAGTAAAACCCTTCATAGCATCCTTCGAGGAACCCGTAAATGGATTGCCTAAAGGAAACCTTGTACATCCCAAGCCCTAAAGCCTAAACACCGAAAGCCTAACCCCCCCAAAAAAAAACAAAGAAACAACTTTCTGGCCTGTCTGAAAGATCCAAGGCAACGCATAGCTCGTGTTCCTCAGATCGCCAGTCGCGTTTGTTCGGGTTTTAGGGTTGAGGGGGGTGTCTTTACAGGTTCCTTTAGGTGTTCCTTTCAGATAACGGTTCCAGAATGGGGTGTGAGTTAAGGGTTGAGGGTTGAGGGTTTGAAGGACTTGGGCCGCTTAGGTTTGGTCTTGGCTTAGGGGAGCCGGAGCTGTCTTGTGTTGCTAGATTTTGAGGGTCGAACAAATTTGTTTCAGGGTGCTGCAAGTTTCCACATGGTGAAGTGTAGACTAGCGTTTGTGTTGTGGGTCGTAAGTTGCTGCAGTGCGGATTGAGAGCATAAAACCTGCATGGAGAGTGTGCATAAAGAACTGCCGAGGTGTACAGCTAAACCCCATAGACACCTATGCGTCGCAGAACAGTACTCTACAGGTTGGATGCTGGAAGTGTGTCTAGCGTTCGCACAGGGTCCTGCTAGAAGGGATTCTCCTGTGATTTCCAAGGTACACGTATTTCAGAGGGAAAACGCTGAGGGGTTGCGGGTCAGAGCGGGCGGTTGCATGACAGCTCTCGCGTTTTGGTGAGTTCTCCAATTTTCAAGTACCAAGACCAAGAGACAGGATTGTCAACTATTCCCACTCCCACATGCTACCCGGAGGCCCTATGCCTAAACCCTGAGCATCCCTGAGCCCTAAACCCATAAGCCTAAACCCTGAACCCCTTAACTGAATGCAAAACCCCTGTTCCCTCAACCCCTGAACCCTAAGCCCTACCTAAACGCTGAACCCAAGCGTCTCGTGGATGTAGAAGGTCACAGCTATGAGGATGGCCAGGAGCCATTTGACCAACTCAGCCGGCCCAAAAGTTCAGGGTTTTTGTACGGTTTTCCCTAGGGCTCCAAGTATACAAATAGTACTTTGGGGTTTAAAGTCTATAAATACTACCTACTTTGGGCTTTTGGGAGTCCCTGGGCTTGTATGATCCATGAGGTTTCTTCTAGGTTTCTATATGAGTCTGTTTACAAATAAGTAACCCTTGCAACCCCTGCAACAATCAAAGGTACCCTTTCCCCGACGATACAGCTGTTGATCAGGACGAACATTTTCTGGTAATCAGGTTTCGACGATACTCTCCTAGATGAGCTTTTGGGGAGCTGTTTCGAAACGCCCCAAAGCCTTAACACTCTCAACCGGAAGGCCTGGAACCTAACATCTACACATGAAGCACTCAGCACCATACAACCTGTTCTAAAAGCCCATAACAAAGGTCCAAACTCTAAGCCCTCAGCACCCCAAAGCCAAACCCCCGCACACTTATGTCCAGATCTGCGGGCGGGCGGTTGTGTGATACATGCCTTGGGAAATGCTCGCGCTTGCACTGGCGGACTCAGCCGAACATCGGCGGCACTTCGGGATGGTCGCCCCAGATGTGATTGCCTGGACTGATGCCTGCAGAATCTCGCAGATGCCAGACATCACGGATTCAGGGTCCAAGCCGTCTTTGTAAACTCCTTGGCTCATGGAGCTAGCTTGACTTCTTGAAAGGTGGAGAATGCGCCGCCGCTTCGCGTCCGATGCCGCCCAGAGTGAAAGCGATGCAGCGATGCGGCAAAGTTTAGCAAGAACCGTTTTAATCGTTGCCCATAGCAGTTCCCTGCGTCACTTTCTGGACTTACGTCTACTCCAGTTGCTTTCGTCATTGCCCTTTAGTTATCTTTTGGGCAGCATGTTACATCCCTTAACCCTACCTTAACCCTGAAGAACCTACCCGGTTGAGGACTTACATAAGGAAATCATATTAGGGAACGCTATAAACAGGAAGGTTCTTCAGGGTCCAGGTAGGCCCTAAAAACCCTAAGCCCTAAACCCTAACTGGCCCTAAACCCTAAGCCCTAAAACCCTAAACCGAATTCCCCCATCCTCAGGTCAACCTAAATCTAAAATCCAAAACCCTAAAACCCTAAACCCTTAACTCTCCACCGCAGCTAATCTTCACATCTTGTCTTGTATTCGCTATCAGTAGCGGCAGTGACTTGCATGTTTCAATGCGTGAGGGGGGCCTAGGTAGCTTAAACTAGAACAAAGGAGTTGTCTACTTATCCCAAAAGCGTCAAAGTCCAGCTAGTCTGTCTGCTAGTATAGGGCCTTACGATTAGTATAGGGTTTCAAAGTATATTATAGTTTAGTCGTAACCCTACGGAACTCTCAGGAATAATCTTGGTGATTATTCAGGCTTCTAGATTACTCAGAAACCCAAACCCCAAACCCTAAACCTTAACACCAACCCCTAAACCCCTAAACTCAGAAACCCTCAATCTGAGAAGAAGGCCGTAACGAACTTCTCGCAGAACGATGGGTCCAGTTCCGCGTCGGTCAATTCTTTAGAGCCTGCGACCAGATTCAGGGCCAAGGGTTCCAACGGACTTGGGTCGAAAGTTCGAAAGGTAATATCAGGGCCTTACCTATAGTCTCCATTGCAGTTCCTTTATTGGGGGTTAACCGAAAACTATTATAGGATCCTAACCACAAAACTGGTTAACCAAAACAAGGAACTACAATGGAGACTATAGGTAGCAATCAACAAAGTGTTAGCTAAAGGCCTACAGCAAGGAAGCCCAAGGAGCGGTGTTGCTAATTCTTCCGTCTTCAGTATATGGGAGTTTCCGAAAATAGGGGACCCTAATATAGTACCCGAAATAGTAGGATCCTTACTATAAGGAACCCAAAATAAGGTACCCGATTTTTTGGAAACTCCCATATATTGAGGTATTGGCTCAAGCGTGCTGAAGGTGTGCTCTTGGTTGTTATCAAAGCCCAAAGGTTCAAGAGATCAACTCTTACTCCAATATTTAGGTAGCTGGAGCCTTTGGGTAAAACTCTTAAGCAGTCCCAAACTCAAGCAGGCGTTTGGATTTTGTTGAGACGGCACTGAACGCAGATATATCCGGCCTGTCTGTCGCACCCATGGGCCGTGGTCGTCGAACGCCTCGAGACCCTCGGCCCCCCAGTCGTAGCCTCCGGAGAGGGAGTGCGCGGAGGTGGCTTCTGCTTGGCGTTTGGGATTCCACTGGGGTTCAGGGTTTATGGCTTGGGTACATCCAAAAAGTTCGACAGCACCAAGGAGAGCTTCAGACCCCAAAACTACGGCGTATCAGTTGCTTGGTAAACTGCAGCTTCCGTTGTCAAGGTTTAGGGGCTAGAATGGCATAGCTTCGGCAATCTGTCTGCAATTTCTGGGATCTGATCTGGCTTTTGAGGCTTCAATCGTCGTCTGTGAGGGGGCAGGACATCACACAGGCTAGAAGCTACAACAAACGATTGTTTCTTGCTCCGGAGAGCAGGGTGGCTATGCAGGAACCTTTTGAATGCCTTAGTGTATAAACGCTTAACCCCTGACCCAAACTATAAATCCCTAAACCCTAAACACCCTAATTATACTGTCAGGTACAAGGACGCTTGAGGTTGGCTACGGAACTTAGGCTCCTGGAATGCCCGACTTTGACAGCAGACACAAGTTCAAGACGGAGCGCAGGGGCCCCTTGGGGTTTGGGGTTTAGGGTTTTTACCCCAATAAAACGCACTGACAAGGGACACACACACTCTACAAGTCGCTGAAGTAAACCCGTAAACAGATACCCAAAGGCTTAAAAATCGCCCAAAAGCCTCATATAGTATGGTCTTTGGGCCCAAATGCCTCTAAAAGAGGAGTCCTTAGAGCCTACGGGATAAAGCCTAGGATACCCAGTAACCTAAGAATGAAAAGGCCTCTCTTTTTGGTATTGGGTTACTTTATAAGGAACCTAGGACTACAAAAAGGGAATAAGGGTACTACTGGGCATCCTAGAAGCCTTGAAAGACCTGGAGGCATCCTTCATTGGGTTGAGGCTCTTGGATCAGAGTCCCGGGGGCGTGAACAGCTGCGTTTTTTCTTACCAAATGCTCCTTGGACTCCCTGTGAATCCAAAACCTACCGTTTTAAGGCTTCGACCCTCTAATTAAGGGGTCATAACCTACTATTTTGTAGGCTTTGGGGATACAGGTCATAGCCAAGCTGAGTACCTATAGTCTCCATTGTAGTTCCTTTTTTTGGCTAACCAAAATCTCTATTATAGGGTCCTAACCATAAAACTGGTTAACCAAAAAAAGGAACTACAATGGAGACTATAGGAGGCCTCCATGACAAACATGAAAGCGGGAAGCTAAAGACACAGCCCTCGATCAGCCGTACACCCTAAAGCCTAAACCGGGTAAGTGATGTGAACTTTCCTTGTTTTCAACGCCGGAGGCTGGAATATAGTGATGTTCTATCTTCAGTGCTTCTCCTTACGCCTGTACGAAGATCTACCAACAATGCAAGGGTAAAAGGAGGGACCCTCAATAGGGACCCCGAGGTATATACCCTAAATATAGCTATTATATACCGATTTTTTAACCCATTATAGGGTAGGGGTCCCCATGAAGGGTCCCTCCTTTCCCCCTTTGAAACAAGGGTTTCGGGTTTAGGGCTACTTCAAGGCTAGAGCCCCTCAACCCTACCTACAGTCTCCATGGTAGTTCCTTTGTTGGTTAACCAGTGAACCAGTTTTATGGGTAGGACCCTATAATAGAGATTTTGGTTAACCAAAAAAGGAACTACAATGGAGACTATATAGGTAAGCCCTGAAACCTAAATCGGAAGCCTCGAACCCTGAAAGAGACCCCCAAGCTAAATCGAGCACCCTCTAAAGGGAACTCCAGAAAGTTGGAATATAGATTAATGGTAGGATCCCCTATAATTTACCATAGAAGGGTTAGGATAATCATATTCCAACTTTCTGGCTTTTACCTTAGAAAGTCAGGAGGCGGCAGCACAAACAGCGTTGCAAGAGATTCGCTGGATCTTCAACCTAGCTTCAAGCTTTAGTTTGATTTTGGCTGTCGGTTTTTCGCGCTTAGAGTTTAGGCACCTGCTTGAGAGGGCTTTGGTTTCAGGCTTTGGGTTTGGAAGGTCTAGAGTCTAGGGTACTCTAAAGGGCTCAGGCTTACTAGCAGGGTGTCAATTTCTGAAAAAAACATATATATATATATATGTATATATATCAAAGCCCATGATCTGACATCAAACCCCATGATCTGACAAACAGAACTCTATAATAGTTCCTAATAGCCACAGCATGCCCGGCGAAAAGCACAGCTTTGTAAAGAACAGTCTTGGCCGCTGAAAAATTACTCAAAGGGCTAAACCTTAAACCCTAAAGCCTCAACTCTACGCCTTTGCATTAAACTCCTGGAGTCTAACACCGACAACTCTCTGCGAGCACCTTCATCCTTTCTGCGAATCACTGACACTCTAAATGGCCCAGAAAGGCTCTCCTGATAGACTGTATGAGTCCAGAGAATCATAATTATGACTGCATACTTGGAGGCTAAGGAAATCTAGAGGATAAATCATGAAAGTATGGTTATACAAACAATCGGGTCATATAGTTCGTACTTAAGCTGCGGGTTCCAATCGCACGCGCTGCCTTCATTGATGTATATAAACTGTGTACTTAATTGGCTAGTCGGAAAGCTCGAAGCAAATCGTCGTAAGGGAGAGGGTACTGGAGTCTCTAATCTCAAAAGATCCAAGCGACCTTATAGTAACCCTTATAGAACCCTTACAGTAAACCTTTTTGATCCCTTTAAAGGAACCCTATTCGAACTATTGAGTCTCTAATCTCAAATACTGCTCCAAGAGACCCAGCCCCGCAGCACTTCGTAGAGAATACCCACGATGACCTCTGTGGGGGTCGGGTTGAGGGTAAGGTTTAATTAGGGTTTAGGGTTGAGGGTCTAGGGAGGATTTGTCCTTCAGGGCTACGGCTTGCTTTTCCAGATGGTATGGGGGTCTGTCGGCGGGCGGGTGGGGGCGGGTCGTGGGTTTGGGCTTCAGGGCTTTAGGGCTCGGGGTTGAGGATTCATGAAACAGCCCCGCCTCTGAAACCGGCATTAGATTAGAGGAGGTTCAGGAATAAGGACAAAAGCAGGAGCAAGAGCAGGCGCAGGAGCAAGGGGAGGACCAAGTGCAGGAGCAAGATGAAGAGCAGGAGCAAGAGCAGCTGCAGTGGCAGGAGCAGAAGCGAGAGCAAGTGCCAGAGCAGGAGCAGTACCAAGATAACCCAACAATGACAGTAGAGCCACAGAACCCCCGCCATATCGACCACACGTTTCCATATGTTATTGCGGAGCCATGTACTCGTGGGGGAAATGCGACTACGAGGGCTGCGGTGAAAGGTTTAGGGGTTGGCACGTCGGTGTCAGGGATGCCGAGGTGCAGCTTGAGAATTCACTAGAAGGGGCCCCCTGCGCTCCAGACTGCGGCCATGCAAGGGTCAGAAGGGGCCCCCACCCTGTAATGGTGACTATAAGGATTATATAGGATTATAGATTAGGGCCCTATGATATTCCCTTTATACCACTATTACAGGGTGGGGGCAGCTTCTAGAGTATTCATTTGCTCTAAGGCCAGCGGACATTGTACTGTAAAGATAATCAGGAACCCTAATTACAGGCCGATAAGAGTTTAGGATTCCATGGTAGCCTTGGGGTAGAGGGTCGAAGTGCTCGGATTCGTAGAGTATGGGGATTCATCGGAGATGTCGGTTGCAGAGCTTGGGAGGCTTGTGCTACATCAACCCATGTCTGCCAAACACGGATAATTAGAAGGGTTCCTTTCGGGATCCGCTAGGGGTAAGATGGGCATAAGCTTGGGGCCAAGAGTCTCCATCAGCAAAGAAGGAACATCGAAACAACTTGCAACGAACCTGAATCACAATAACAACTTCTCCTACAGAAAAGCTTACGACATTAAGACTCTAAAGCTGTAGCAATCGGGTTGAAGGCATATCATCCACAGTCACTCGCGCTCGGGCTAGCTGAATGGTCTATTGACAACAGCTTTCAACCCTTCGTCATACTGCACTGTAGGGTTTGGGGGCTCAGTATAAATACCATATCATACTAGGATACCCAGTAACCTAAGAATAAAAAGGCCTCTCTTTTTAGGATTGGGTAACTTTATAAGGAACCTAGGACTACAAAAGGGGAATAAGGGTACTACTGGGCATCCTAGTATAAATATCATATCATATTTATAGTAAGGTTAGTAAGGAGCCCCCAAGCCGCTCCTATATTGCTGTACCCTGAGGGTGCCTCAAAGCACCCTAAACGCCTCTGCCCTAAACTCCCGAACCCGAAACCTCGAAACCCTGAACTTCAAACAGCATACAGGCCCGGGAAAGGGTTTATAGGGCTTCCGGTTTATATCAACTCGGGATTGTAGGTTTATGGCCTACTTGTCGGGTATCATGGGGAACTAAAGGTTAACCTTTGTGGTTGTATAGGGATTATGTAGGGGCCATACTACCCAAAAACGGTTAAAGGGTACCTACTCTACTACTAGGATGGGGTGCGTTGGCTCTGTATGCGGATGAGCTGCTGTTGTCGTGATAACGCGGCATACGAGGTCACAGAGGTGAGCGTAAACTCCTCCATGGAGTGCATTGAAAACCCAACCTACCTATTGTCTCCATTGTAGCTCCTTTTTTGGGTTAACCAAGATTCCTATTATAGGGTCCTAACCATAGAACTGGTTAACAAAAAAAGGAACTACAATGGAGACTATAGGTACACCCTTGACACAACTTCCTTCTCTAAGATACCTTATTTTCTGGTGGAAAGACTGATCCAACACAAATCTTGCTGCTACTAGTTGTCATCATGACTATGTCCGATGTCCTCAGGCGTACCTTGAAGGTGCATCCTATTGCAGTTACAAGTCCTCAAGTGTGAGCAGTAACTGAGCCCTTATTATCATCACAAGCTTTGCCCCAAGTGTGTTCAGAACCTCTTACTGCAAACGCTATCAACTAGCCCCAGAATCCAACCCCGACCGTGGACCCGAACCGCCAGACCCTCACAAAGCATCTCTACATCTTACGGTAGGGTTTCGGTGTGTTTCGGTATATCGGTGTATATATTAGCTGCATACGAAATGATTCTCAATGTAAGTATAAAACCCTGACAAGGGTCCTGGTGAGCTCTTGCCGAAAACTGATAAAACAAAAAACCGACCCTGTGCAACCCTCATCAAACCCTGTAAACACCCTTGCAAGCCCCCCTTCGAAAGCCCACATAAGCGCCTCTTCTGCCTGGTTCTTTGTGGGGAATGGGGGGCACCCTAAACCCCCTATGATGATCCTTTCAAGTCCCTGATAGTAGTCCCTGTAATGCATTCTCTTATTCCCGACTAAGAACCACCTATAGTCTCCATTGTAGTTCCTTTTTTGGTTAACCAAAATCTCTATTATAGGATACTAACCATAGAACTGGTAAACCCAAAAAAGGAACTGCAATGGAGACTATAGGAAGTGAATAAATGCAGCACCCAGGCACCCACCCAGTTCGCGGGCTTTTCGGACTCTGAGGCTAAGCCAACCTGGCTTGAGGCTTTAATTTGGAGTTCGAGCTTACCTGTAGTCAGAGTCGCAGACTTCTTCCTGAGCTTCTTTACGGACGCCGGTTTAGGGTTTACCTATAGTCTCCATTGCAGTTCCTTTTTTGGTTTAACCAGTTTTATGTCTAGGACCCTATAATAGAGATTTTGGTTAACCAAAAAAAGGAACTACAACGGAGACTATAGGTATGGGGTCTAGGGTTTCGGGCCACAGAGTCTTTTGGCTTCGATACTTCGGAGTTCAGGAACGGGCTTAGATTTGCCATGGACGATGTAAGCATGACGCACAGGCTCTGAGCTGGGATTAGGGCTTCGGGCTTCAGGTTTAGGGTTTCGGCTTCGAGTTTTGGGTTTAGGTTTTCGGGTTTAGAGCACCATGTAAGTTTGCATAGCGGACGCTCTCCAGTGATTCACACAGCATGTTAGTTGCTTGTGTTGGGGCGGGTAGTTGCCGCAGCAGCGTAAAGCTAAACAATTCAACGTTGGGAGTGATAAACCGGCAAGCGCGACCCCCACCCCCCCGTACACTTTGACGGCTAAACCCTAAACCCTCAAACCTGAATCCCCTGGCTTGGAAACTAGAAGGCGCGTGCGCGTACTGGGGGTACTTTGCGAGTGCCCTGGCGCTGTATGCACGGAAGCATTCTTGTGGGAGCCATGCAGAAGAAAACAAGCTATGTCATTCAATGTGCATGAGGCACTACCTAGAGGCTCCATAGTAGTTCCTTTTGGGGGTTCATATATAGAATCCTATAAGGTAATTCCAAAAAGGAACTACTATGGAGCCTATGGGTAAGGTCCAACTAAATCGGGCAAGGCTTCGCTTCAGACAAAAAGTTCCTACAACTCGTCCCCATACCAAGGACGCCACAAATAAGTCTCTAAGTTGGGGGAACGCCATCTTGAGCGTCTGAAACCTTCGGCCGAAACTTGTAGAGCTCCTCCAAACGCACCTAATAAGACGTTGATGCTGGAGGTACCGAAAGATCATATTCCAGGACCACCCGAAGGGCCCTCTAATAGAGCCCTAATGGCCCTTAATAGTGGGTATTTGGGGGTATATTAGAGGGTGGTTGGGGGAGTCTAGGCTCGTCTTGAAAGACTAGATCTGAGGCTGGGCATGATAACCCACCCTGACAGATCTGTCTTGAGACCTCAAGCTCAATATTGAACCCCCGAAAGCACAAGCTCGTGTGAATGCTCGGTAGAAGCCCGGAATCCTTGTCTGAAAGCCATGCGATGGTGCAATTGCCATCAAGCAGCATACATGGTCATCAGCAGAAACATCCAGCGGAAAAGATCGATACGGCTGAAGTCTCGAGGTAGAGATTGTTGAAGCAGCCCACGTGCTTGTCCACAGAGAGGCTGCTGCGAATTAGATGCCTTGTGGCCGGTGTAGTTTACAAAAGTTCGCTGGCAGCGGGCTTGAAGAACCCTAAACCCTCAACCCTAAGATGCCACTTGTCGGGACCCCGTCTCGCTACAGCCTGGGTTCCTAGTTACTACGTCCGTCTCGCCCCCCTCCCCCCCCAAGTGGCACCGAAATTCTCTACTTGGAGTCGTAGGGGTCGGGACCTTGGAGTATGCAGGTGTTATATACCCTAAACATGAACCCAAGACTGTAAACCCTAGACCCCAGATCCTAAAACCGACAGAGTCGTAGGGTTCTCTTGGGCCTCAGGTGAACGTGAAGGTGGCGTAGTGTCGTACGGTGTCTCGCCTTCTCACAAATTTAAGCTGCACGGCTCTTGGGTTTGGAGCTTAAGGTTTGGGGGCCAAGGTTTGGGGCTCTTGGGTTTCAGAACTTACCGTGGGGGCTGAGTACCCTAGACCGAAAACGGTTAACCTTTTCAATTATGGTAGGATTATATGGAACCACAGGGTTGACGGTTACCTCTTCTACGAAGTACTTCGTGGACTTGACACCCTGGTTGGTTCTACTAGCTTCCAGGCTCAGTTTCCACAGTTCCCGCATCGGGGCTGGGGGCCAATCATACTACCCACACCCCCGGGAGGATCTGGAAAGTAGATCCTCTAACTTGGAGCCCTGTACTACTAACGGTACTTTATCGGAACCCCCATTAAGGGATCTACTTTTAGGATCCTCCCGGGGGGGGGTCTGGGTATGTAAACCTCACAGAAACTTAGGGACCCGGGTCTAAACTTCAGTATCCTACGAGAAACTTTGGGTTCGGGTCCAAGGTTTCAGGTATGATTTCATGGAAAAAGACTACCGATAGTCTCCATTGTAGTTCCTTGTTTTGGTTAACCAGTTTTATGGTTGGGACCCTATACTAGAGATTTTGGTTAACCAACAAAAGGAACTACAATGGAGACTATGGGTAGTACTATCAACCCTGAACCCCACGGCCCCTTACAGCGTTCAGGCAGTGCTTGCCCAGATACCGCCGCAGTAAAGCAGGCGCAGTTGCAAATACCCTGGCTGCTTGAAACGATGCTTCATGCAATAGACCTCTAGGGTTATGGGCTATACTACGGTGTGTGTATATACACATACACATACACACGTATAACATATATATATATATATATATATATCTATAGATATATTACTAATAACCGTAACTATTTTTGCTAATAAATAGGTGTATATATATATATGTATATGTATATATCCATCCTTTTATTTATTATGATAATAGAACCAGACAGAAGGAATAGTATTATCACCTGTCCAGGCTTCTATGTTACATCCGTGGCCGTAACCATGTCCTGAGGTCTAACGTTTTCCCAGGGATTTGGCCCAAACTGCTCCAATTTAAGGAACCCTGAACCCTAAGGCAGCGTCAAAATCTTAGTTTTCTAGGGTCCGAATCGGGCATAGGGCCTAGCCTGACATTGAACCTGAATCCTTTCTCCAGCGCTTTGCTGAGTTGCTAAGCTCCTCCTCACCTACAAAAGGGGCCTTCACAATTAGAATAGGTTTGTGGGTATATCATACCCTAAACAGCATGCGGACTAAAACCGAAACATCGTTGAAACCGGGCCTATAGGGGAATACAGTTGTTAACTACTCGGCCCCTGTATGGTGCGATCTTTCAGGCTTTAAGGAGTTGCTGAAGAAGGTCTGATGGATAGGTCCGAACTAGGTTGAGCTTAGGGGTCTGAAGATCTGTGATGACTTACTACTGTTTGAAGTTTAGGCTTAGAGAGGGTAGACCTACAATGTTGCAGTCGTACTAGAAGTCTCGGCCTCGGAGGGGCAGATCTACAATGTTGCAAGGCCATTTAGGGTTTAGGGTTTAGGGTTTCATGATGGACAAGTGACAAACGATCTGAGATTGCCATGCAGAAAGTCGCTCTGTCTTTGCGAGTGTCGCGCAGTTTCACGATCGTGAAATTGGGCTTCCGGAATTGGAGCCGTATGGCGTAGGATCTGGGTCTAGGGCTCGGGTTTAGTGATAAGGCTTCAGCTATTGTAAGTTAGCATTTGCGGGCATTTTCCCGAACCCCTGATGGCCCAGACGAGACGTCTGCTTGCAACAAAGAGGCGAGCTGGTTGAGGAACTCCACCAGCACCTGGATAAAGATACAGACTTGATCATTTGTTCGAAACTGCTGGCTTCACTTTCAGAGGTTGAGGGTTGGTGGTCTTAACCCTAAACCCTACATCCTGAACCCTAAACCCTGCCATTCTACTCATTTTCAGGCCCTGCCACTCTGAAATGCCGAATCGGAAGAATCCGAAGTTGTTCGGAGTTGGGGGTAATTCGTTGTTGCGAATTATATAGTATCATATTCTACTAAAATAACTTCCATTGTATCACAGCATGTTCTATCTTATCATGCTAGACCACACTATACCATGCTACAGTATGGTTCAGGTGTTTGGGGGTCACGGAAAGGGTCTAGGGTCTAGGATTCAGGATTTAGATAATGGATTTAGGATTTAGGGTTAGATTTAGGGTCCAGAGTTCAAGATTTCGGGCTTCGGATTCAGGATTTAGGGTTTTAGAGGATTGAGGCGCGGGTTTAGGGTTTAGGGCCCTTACCTCCGAAATCACGACCTCTAAGCCTCGCGTTGACTTCGGCTATGGTGTACAGGTCGGGGCTTGCTTGCTTCAGTATAACGCCAAAAAATACATATATATATATATATATATATATGATATGGTCATCCACAATCCTTGGTTAAACCTAAACCCCAAACGCTACAAGATCTAGACCCTAAAACCGACATCCTAAACCCTATAAATTCCTGGACCCTAACCCAAGACCAACAAAAACAAAAAGAAAGGGGGCCGGTTTCTGCTGTTTAGACCAAGACTCCTCAACTCATGGGCGTCCTTATAGTGGTTGAAGGTATCTGACTTAATTCAGTGCTTGTGGCGGCTTCTAAACCCAAACCCCAGTGCCCTAAACCCCCTTCTTGGGCAACTCCGAGAGCTGCTCTTTTACCGAGGGGCCACGGCCGTCGTACAGCGGCAAACGCACTGGCAACAGGGGCTGTGGGTGCTTTGGGCTTTGGTTGTGGCGCTTTACTGTTTTACAGTTTATGGGTTCGAGGCACATAGCGCTTAGAGAAAAGATCGTTACATGGGTTTTCATACACGTATAAGAATTAGGATAACCTGTATTGGGGGTGGGTTGAGGGGCTGGGGGGGCTGGGGTGGAGAGGGGCGTGAGTACAATAGAGCTCTATAGGGCTGCCTTAATTGCATTTATCTGCTTTGCTGTGTGCCGTCTATTGCTGGTTCCGTAAAGATTGTTCTAGGTTTAAAGGATATTGCAGAAACTAGGGATCCCTCTTATGCATTAATGGCATAAGACTTATGAGGGGCTTCTGGGGATTTATGGAGTTCTACAGAGGCTTTGAATAGACGTAGAGGTGGTTCTTCTAGGCAACGGAGAAACTACTCTCAACCCGGGCTCTGGGACTGCATGGCTTTGGGTCCCAAGCCTTGAAGAGTCTGAACTGAACACAACCCGACACACAGCAAAATGCTGAGCACCAAACTGCACGAAGCCCTCGGACCTACTGAGTCATACCCTCTAGCTACTAATCTACGGCATTGTGCAACTGCGAGACATTGCAAGCAAGACCTAACAGTGGCTTGTAGAGGCCATTTATAGAAAAGGCAGAGGTAGGTTGTGCAGCATCTCTCATCATGAGCCTGGCAGGTCTTCTGGCTTTGATTCGAATCTGGCCGGGGGGGGGGGGGGTGATATGGTTGATGGACAAAATCCTGCATTACTCACTATAAGGAATATGCCATGGTCCCTATACTTTAGAGTCCTCAGGATCATGCAGGATTTTATCCATCAACAGTATTATATGGTGTACTCAACTCGAGGGCTGGCATGGGCTAACAAGATTGTAAGGGTTTAAGGTTCAGCATTTGGTGTTTGGGGTCCAAGATTTAGAGGTTAGCGTTCAGGCTTTGCGGTATAGGATGATGTGAGGGTTGGCATACCATAAGAAGCCGGAGCTCTAAACCCTAAACCCTAAACCCTAAACGAACAAAACACGACAGGCCTCGACAACGCTCAAGTAGCTGAGGAGGTAGCTCTGGTCGGCTCTTTCGAGGCACTCCTCGCTCGCTTGGGCTACCCGGAGCCTCCAAAACCCCTTAAGGAATATACCTTAAATCATATAAGGGATCCTGTTCTATTTTAAGGTATATTCCTTAATTAAGGGGTTTTGGAGGCTCTGAGTACTTGCTGTTGGGTGTACCTATAGTCTCCATTGTAGTTCCTTTTTTTCGTTAACCAGAATCTCTATTATAGGGTCCTAACCATAAAACTGGTTAACCAAAAAAAGGAACTACAATGGAGACTATAGGTAGGGGTAGGACTGAATCTAAACACTAAACACACATTGACGGACGGGGATACGATCCCGACGTTTCGGACCAATACAGAACAAAAGAGCCGGTAACGGGAAGGCAGAGGTTAGACAAGAGAACGACCCGAGAACAATCTTCATGAAGCCAGAACAACTTAAAAGACTGAAGCACTAAACCATGATATGCAACGCAACTGGTTAGCCCAGCCAGCACGCAACCCTAAGCCACTCCTAAACCACACAAGGTCCCAAACCGTAAGCCGTCTGAAACCCAGGCCACGGCTTGGTCTCCGAGCCCTATTAATGCCCCAGGGCGTGGGGCGTAAAGACACCATCCCAAACTTTCGGACTCAGGCTGATAGGACTTAAGGTTCTCCTTATAACCACAAATAAGCTCCCTTTGGTGGGATTCCTTAGCATGATTTGCTTATATTAGGTAGGTCCTAAAAGGGTATAGATTCTGCAAGGGGAGGGTTCAGGGTTTCCGATCGAAGGGATCAGGGAGTGGCATTGGAGTCTTCTTCCCAACGCTTGCCTCATGAATCGGAAGGTTGTGAGTCTCAATCGCTACACTCTTCAGGGTTTAGGGTTTAGGGTACACTCTTCAGGGTTTAGAAACCATGCTGTAACCTAAACCTCAAATCTCGAACCCTGAACCCATATACTTTGGGAGTCCTGTTTCGGCCCTAGACCCTAAATCCATGAAGCTCCGAGCGCCCTAAACCAGCGCCGCTCCTCATCACCCTCGACGTGCTGCAAACTCCGCGGGTTTCCGCAAGTGGCCTTACGCAAAACCCGAAGGGTCCTGAGTGCCTTTATTACATAGTAGAATGTAGGGTTTCTGTGTTCGGGGCCATCATTATGATTTGGGGGCGTGCCCCGCCCCCCCCCCCCCCAACAGTACCTGGGAAAGGGTGTTTCGTACAGAGATAGGGCAAGAACTACTACGCTATGGTTTGAATATTCCCGAAGGCTGCGTGTCCAGATCGTTGAGGGCAAGAGCGTCTTGGTGTTAATGGCTTTAGGTCTTTATGGTCTGTCCGGTGGGTTTGGGAGCTCGTTTTGCCACAGTACCTGCGGATTAGTACATATGGCAATGCTTCGCCCACCTTCTGCCCACATGTGCCCAAACCGCAGAACCCAGCACCCTGTATCAAAAGACCCATGAAAGGCACCATGCTACACCCAAAGCCTTGGAAACCCTAGACCTCATGTATCTTAAACGCCGGGAGGAGTCTCTCAAATGAGTGGGCGCCTTAGGGCTTACCTGTAGTCACTGTAGTCTCCATTGTAGTTCCTTTTTTTGGTTAACCAGTTTTATGGTTAGGACCCTATAATAGAGATTCGGGTAAACCAAAAACAGGAACTACAATGGAGACTGTAGGTAGGATTAAGAGGCCTGAGTCTGGGGTAGTAAGTATTCCTGGCTAAGGTACTGATACGAACCAGTACCAAGACTGTCAAAGGGCCTTGAAGATAACACCGTCAAGAGCAATATACATTCAAAAACTGCGCTGAGGCTGCGGCGTGAAGATAGCACCTAGCTTCAGCCATTTTGTTGCATCGTTGTCTCTCGCTAGAGAAACCTAAACCCCAGACCCAAAAACGGGCGGGGCGGGCACGACGGTTTCAGGACTCAGGGTTACGGTTCATGAATGGAACGCCTGTATTAAGGCTTCAGAGGCCCCAAACCCTTCATAAGGGTCGAGGGCCTATAGGGCTTTTGGTTCGAGATTTATAAGGTCTTGGGAGAGCCTTAACCCCGGCCCTAGCCCCGGAAAAAGATCCTGAAACCCCAAAGGCCCTCCCTTCTTAACCCACAACCCCTTCCATGCCAAATCGCACCTCGGGGTTCACATGCCCAAATCCATCGTGAGTACTTCATTAGTATTGTTGTGAACTGAGCTTTTTTGAACACCTGATCTGGAAGGCCCCTCACATCAGGATTTGGAGTCTGGTTGAGTGTTAGTGTGTGTTTAGGGTTCGGGCTCAGGGTTTAAGTTGGGTCTAGGGCGAGAGTTCCTAGGGGATTGGAGGACTGTATAATCGCTTTCAGAATACGCCTATGCCGGGGTGTTCCATCGGCAAACCCGGTGGCGCCCATAGCCCACTTGTTTCCGCAGATTCTGAGTGTAAACAACCATTTTACGCTGAAATGCTAAAAAATGAAAATAAACAATTCAAGCCTCGACCCAAAATCCCCTACGCATCAGTACACCCGAAACCCTAAATCCCTAAACATTCAATCCTAAGCACTGAACCGTACAACCTGCGTCTGACACCTTCGAAGATCTTCGAACCACACCCCCTGAGGGTCCATGTACCCATATAGCATATACTTTGGGCCCAATGTATCTATATAGTACTTTAAGGCCAACGTATAGGCTATATGAGCACATGGACCCTTAGGGACGGCCTTGAAGTAGTCCCTGAGTCGCTATGTCTGTGTATGTATGTAGGTTTATATGTGTGTGTATAATATATATATATATATATATATATATCTTATAAACAGAAAAAGAGAGAGAGAGAGAGAGAGAGAGAGAGAGAGAGAGAGAGAGAGAGAGAGAGAGAGAGAGAGAGAGAGAGAGAAAGGGAGAGGGAGGTGGGACATGGTAATAGAGTGCGTACATGGCTACATGGACCCTGAGGGTGAGCAAGCAATGATGCCTTTGCCATTGCCATCACCTGCCCTTAAGCCCATGAACCCTAAACCCTAAACCCCAAACCCTAAACCCCAAACCCCAAACCCTAAACCCTACCTGAAGCCCTAGGCAGGAGGTCATAGGGTTTAGGAGTTTTGGCTCCCAAATCGGTCTTTCGATGACACCTTTTCCTTGGAGGTTCAGGGGTAGTTCTAAGTGGGGTTATAAGTCCCCTAATATGGGTTTCGTGTAGTTACCCTACTTATAACCCTACTTATAACTAACCATGAACCTCCAAGTAATCGAGTGAGAAAATGAATGGAAAGGACCGTCCAGAAAGCAGGGCATCCTAGTAGGATCCTGTTTGCAAGGACCGCCATGAGACAAACGGCTTTCGGGTGTGGGGCTTTAGGGTTTCCTTTTCTCTGAAACTCACATAGGCAGCCGGAAGGCTCAAAGGCAACGATCAGCAGGGCACCTTAGAGGCTGCCCTTGAGCAGTCCGAAACGGTAAAGGGGACGTTCAGGGATCAAGGGTTTTGCTGTTTGGGGTTTTGGGGGTTTACCTATTGTCTCCATTGTAGTTCCTTGTTTGGTTAACCAAAATCCCTACTGTAGGGTCCTAACCATAAAACTGGTTTAACTAAAAAGGAACTACAATGGAGACTATAGGTAGGGTTTAGAGAATTTTCGAAGGTTTTGAGTTCCGGGTTTCCCGCAGCTTCAAGGGCGAGGCTTCCTCACGGATGCGGGGTGCAACTCCTGGTACCCCGGGAAAGTCACTAGGGTCCCACAGAAGCTCTACCCTAAAGCCTACCTGACACAACACTGTTACCATGTGGAGATCTTATCAGGCGTTCTCTGATGCACACCCAACCTCACAGAAGAACAATGACTGAATATAGTCGCAAGACCTAGACCCCAAGCCCCAAAGCCCTAACTTACCCTACATCATTAACCCTGAATTCTCAGGTCACAACGACCCTCTAGAATCCTAAAAAAACCCTGTCAAGCGCCCCCTCACCACAGGCAAAATGTGTTGACTTGACGAAGTCTGGGTCTATGTAAACCGCAGCGAGAAATTCATCCGATTGGGGGTTGGGGTATTTAGGGTTTAGGGTGCAAAAGAACTCAATGCCATCCTTGCCTACAGCTCCCTCAACCGCCTTTGTCCTTGCACATCTAAGACAAACGAGCCTGCCTGCAGCAAACCTGAACCTCCACCCCCAATCTGAAGCCCGACAACTGAAGTGTTGAAGAAAAAACCTGTCTCTCATTTCTTCGGGCTCATATTACATATCCTTGCAACTCCATTAGTAGGATAACTTGCCTGCGTCCTCCAACTTCCTCACAGACTACGCTATGATTCCGACTCCCCGGACTACTCCGTAAACATGCACCAACTCCACAACATCCTAAACCCTATCTACTCTTTCATCTACACCAAATCAGCCCTTGAAGTCCACTTCAAAGGTCTGGTCCCCTACAAGTCCATGTCAAAACCCCAACCACCAAAACCCAGAAAACAGAAGGTTCGAAATTCCCACAGACCCAAAACACACTGCAGAACCCCGTGCAGCATCAAACCCGATAGCTTCTTTAAGCCGTGAACCCTACACCCAACCCTGTTCTACTTGTTGAGGCCCCTTATATTTTAGAACCCTACTATAGATCCTTTATGGTAGACTCCTTTTACGGAGCCTTTTAAATGAACCCACAGCAGCAGATCCGAGGAATCGGCTGGCCCAGCAAATGCCGGTCTTGCCTGGGATGCATTAGGAATAGAACGACCGAAGTTTAGGGTGTAGGGGTTTAGGGTTTAGGCGAATATTTAGAGTAGGGTTTTGGGGTAGAAAAAAGTATCTAATACTGCGAAGCCTGAAGGAATACTGTTGGTAATCCTTTCGGCCCCTATGTTACGAAGATGGAGGCCTGACTCAAGAGACTAGTGACGAAGCGGTTTGGGGTGCTATAGGCTGACGATGACAGGGAAAGGAAAGACATTGCTGAGTACTAAAAAGTTAACCCTTGGGCTCTAAAGACTCATATTTTAAGGCCTTTGGGTCCAAAAACCATACTATATAAGGCTTTTGTGCTATTTTGAGCCTTAGGGTAAAGGAGCATTTGTAATAGCTATGTTTTAAACCGGCTATGCCCAAGACATAGCTGCACAAGGCAATTGGGCTGTTGTGAGCCCTCGTGCTTCGTCTAGACTTTCAGGCTTCTGCGAACCTGCACAGCCTTACCTATAGTCTCCATTGTAGTTCCTTTTTTGGTTCACAACCACTGTTGCGATTCGGATCCTGCAAGGTAACCCAGCAAAGGAACTACAATAGAGACTATCGGTAATACCCAGATATATAAGCTGTACCCAACCCGATGACACCAAAGGAACCACCGAGAGCAAGTCCTAACAAACCCGATAGAGCACCCTTCAACAGGAATGCGCGCAAAAGCAAACTCATCTAGGATACCCAGTAACCTAAGAATAAAAAGGCCTCTCTTTTTGGTATTGGGTAACTTTATAAGGAACCTAGGACTACAGAAAGGGAATAAGGGTACTACTGGGCATCCTTGTCATGAAAAAAACACATGCTCAAAAGCACAAAGACAACATGAAATCCCTAAACCCTAGAAACAAGACGTTTAGACCCTAAACCCAACCCAAAACCCCCAACCCCGGGAAAGGATTCAAGAAGGCAGATCCCATAATTGGGGACCTTAAACTACTAAAGGGCACCGTACCAAACCCCATGGCTAAACCCTAAACCATAAGCCCGAATTAGGGACAATACTACTAAAGGGCACTTTATGGGAAATACTACCTACCCCCTAATAGGAACCTCTTAACCCTAAACCTGAAACCCCAAACTCTATACTAACAGGGCACTTTAAAGTACACGCTCTGATGCTGCCCTAGGAACCCCTAAACCCTAAACCTTAGACCCTAAACTCTATGCAATTTAATTAGCACTTTATGGGAAATACTACCTAGGGTGTATAGGAGCCCCTACAACCCTAAACCCTCTACTACTACCTATAGTCTCCATTGTAGTTCCTTTTTTTGGTTAACCAAAATCTCTATTATAGGGTCCTAACCATAAAACTGGTTAACCAAAACAAGGAACTACAATGGAGACTATAGGTAAACCCTAAACCCTCTACCACTACCACCTCAAAGCAAGCACGTTATCGGAAGCCCTCGGCCCTACTACTACTACTGCTACTACTACTACTACTACTACTACTACTACTACTACTACTACTACTACTACTACTACTACTACCTAACAAGCACTTTATCGGAACCCCTGGGCCGAGAAACAGTCGTCGTGCCACTGCTGGCGCTCCTCTTCTCTGCTAGCCGGCGTCTCGGCCTCAGCCTTGCGGTTCGGGGCTTTAGGGTTTTTTTTTTAAGTGCAATAGCCTCTTTCTCCACTAGGGGTTTAGGGTTTAGGGTTTATGGTTTAGGGTGTTAGTAGGGGTTTCAGGGTTTAGGGATTAGGGGTTTAGGGATTAGGGGTTTAGGGTTTCGGGTTTATGGTTTAGGGGTTTAGGGAGTTTAGGGTGTTTAGGGTGGCGTTGTAGGCATATGGCATGGGGCTTATAGTGTCTTGGGCTTAGGGTGTGAGGATGAATGCTTTAAGTTTTGTTGTTTTTCTTTTTTATCGGGATGCGGTGTTGAGTTGTTTTAGTCTAGAGAGTAGATATTGAGGCTTAGTGTGCTTCAAGTTGGCATGTTTTAGTGTATTACGGTTTTGGCTTTGGGGGCTTGGGGTTTCTGTTTGCTTCTTGGTGTCTTGTCTGTTCATGGTTTTTGTGTGAGACTCAGGTGCCTGCGCTTCATAACATATTGATTTCGGTTGTTGGTTGATATAAATTTTCCCGTGTGGGTCACGCATTTCAGTTGGCTGGCCTCTCGGGTCTAATTATGCTTATGTCTTGCTGTATTGCGAGTGTCGTTGCTGTTTGTTTTGTTTTGTGGTTGTGTGTGTGTGTGTTGTTGCGTGGCTGTTGTGTTGAGGGCATTTTGTGTTGTGCCCTTGTTTAGGCTCCGTCTTGATTATTATGGGGATCTGGTCGAGTTTAGGAGCTAAGGTTCCAGGTGTTTAGAGACTAGGGCTGTTTATAGTGTCCTAAGGGGGCCATAATTTGAGCGTTCTAGTGCTCTACTACTGTCGCTATAAGGAATAACCTTAGGGAGTGATCTTACCGTTGATTCGGGCTTCTATCTTTATGCGGAAAGCGGTGGTCGTTGGCCATGTACCCGTCTAAGGGCTGACTGACTTAGCGTAATTAGGAGCGCAGACTCACATCTTCGGAAACATCTGCTTCGTGTGTGGAGTTTAGGGTATAGGGTTGGCATATAAAGTCAAGGCATCACCAAGTTATTGCTTGGGTCTTACCTGCTCGCGTATCGACAGTCATACTCGCCAAACCCATGATTTCCGTCAAAATAAATGCTAAATTATTCCAATACGGCTGATGGACGAAGTCCTGCATTGACCCTTTCAGACATGTCCCAGGCACCTGAGGTGCTGTGCACTCATCCAACCACGGTCCCAAAAGATTTGGCTCGTCCGCTGCGGCCTCTCCAGCACGCAAACTACCGTTTCGGGTGTGCTTGCCCGCTCGAAACCAAACTTGAGCTACCTAAACCCTAAACACTCAACCCGAACAACAAAAACGTTCTATGTGCCAGTGTCTTGCAACGCTTCCATGAACTTCACATCCGGGTCTATGATACGCCGCTACAAATAAGTATTTTATGGTGGGCGCCGACGTGTATACTGCAGCATCCCGTAATCATCAGCACAGTTTAGGGTAAAGTTATTGTACAGTTCTACTGGGGACTACAAGGCAATAACATCCCTAAACCCTAAACCCTAAACCCTAAACCGTTCCGACCCCATGTTTGTACCCTATACAGACCCCCGAGGCCACCAACGCCTGCACGACCAAGGCTTCAGGCTGGGCGGGCATCACCAAGGCCCCCGAAGTTCTTACGGTTTAGGGTTTAGGGTTCCTAACTAAGCCCCTGAAGGTTGGTTAGGGCTTATGGCAAAAGAAGGGTTGTTTACATACCTCCCAGATGAGTGGCAAACGTGGTTCCCTGGGCTGAATCGGCAACAGGTTGTCTGTTGCTCTAAACGCGCATGGCTCAAAAGAGTTTACCTATAGTCTCCATTGTAGTTCTTTTTTTGGTTAACCAGTTTTATGGTTAGGACCCTATAATAGAGATTTTGGTTAACCAAAAACAGGAACTACAATGGAGACTACAGGCAGGCTGTCTGTTGCTCTAAGCGAGCTTAGCTCAAAAGAGTTTAGATTGGGGCTAGGTGGTCAGCAGCAGCAGCAGCAGCATCAGGAGGAGTAGTAGTGGCAGCAACAAGTAGTATATAGTCGTCGTCGTTGTAGCCATAGTAGTAGTCAGTATTAGTTAGTCGTAATAATAATAATAGTCAGTAGTAGTAATTAGTCGAAGTAGTCGAAGTAGTAGTAGTAGTAGTAGTAGTAGTAGTAGTAGTAGTAGTAGTAGTAGTAGTAGGAGTAGGAGTAGTAGTAGTAGTAGTAGTAGTAGTAGTAGTAGTAGTAGTAGTAGTAGTAGTAGTAGTAGTAGTAGTAGTAGTAGTAGTAGTAGTAGTAGTAGTAGTAGTAGTAGTAGTAGTAGTAGTAGTAGTAGTAGTAGTAGTAGTAGTAGTAGTAGTAGTAGTAGTAGTAGTAGTAGTAGTAGTAGTAGTAGTAGTAGTAGTAGTAGTAGTAGTATTATTAGTAGTAGTAGTAGTAGTAGTAGTAGTAGTAGTAGTAGTAGTAGTAGTAGTAGTAGTAGTAGTAGCAGTAGGAGTAGTAGTAGTAGTAGTAGTAGTAGTAGTAGTAGCAGCACTAGTTGTGGCAGTCGCAGGAGGAGCGGGACCCGGAGTAGTCGTCGTCGTTGCTGCTGTCGCATTACATGCCTGAACTGAGAAATGCCTTAGGCTTCAACGGAGGTACCATCCTAAACACCTAAACATCCCCTAACCCCCAAACCCTAAACCTTAGACTTAGCGCTCACGGTTGCTCTCTGCTTCAACAACCGGGCCCAACAAAGTTCAAACTTTCTGCTATAGAGCTAATATATAAAGCCAAAAAGTTTAAAGTTCCCCTGTTCGCTTTGTAAGGTTAGAGATTCCTCAACGCAGAGGCGAAACTCTGAAAGGACCCCCTGGTATGCCGCAACATCCAGTTTGATGTTTCAAGGTATCTGGAGCTCCCTCCTGGGCATCTGCGGTATTCTCCAATTTTGCGCCCGGTATTGAATCCACCAACATACATGGGTAGTTGTCAAAATTATGGCCCCTTTTTGGATACCCTAAATATGAGGTGGTGTATTATAATAATAAGGACCCAAAGAGGGACCATAATTTTGACAACCACCCATCAATCTTATAACCCCTCTACAACTAATGCAAAAGGCCCAATGGGGGTCGTTCCTTCGTCCTGGACTCATCACCAATACCCTGCAAAGACTCGAACGACCTTGCAAGTTAGGTAAATCTACCTCTTGTACTACAACCTCTAATCCTAAACCCTAAACCCTAAACCCTAGACCCCAAACCTACAACCTTTTTGACATCTAGAACCCGAAAGCCCTCCCCCATTGCCTGAAACCGAATCCCGACTTTTGGTTACCCTTGACCCTTGACCCTATATCAACCCTAAACCATAATCCAATAGTCTTTGTGCCTCAATGTATTGTAGGATCCTCAGGCGATCCGAATATCCGAAAAGAGGGTGCCAGGATACAGGGTCGAAGTTACCTATAGAAGCCTAAGCACTACTGGAAACTATGTCTTGGCATTCCTTCTTCACAAGTACATTATGAAACCCCCCAGACGCCTGGTACAAAAACATCAGTATTATTACTCGTACCCTAAGGCTCAAAATGGCCCAAAAGCCTTACCATAGTATGGTCTTTGGGCCCAAAAGCCTGAAAATATGAGTCCTTAGAGCCTAAGGGTTGTGATTGTTATCATCGCTACGGTTGATGATATAAATCCTGCATTACCTTAAGGACCCTAAACTCTGGGAATTATGTTATATTCCTTCTTATGGGTAATGCAGGATTTATATCATCAACCTTAAGGCCCCCACTTAAGAGCCAGATCCGCGAGCCTGCTCCCGGGAGTCGATAGGCAGGGTCAATGTTACCTTCTTCGCGAGCATGATCAGCACCCAGACCCCCTTTTGGAGGATCCAAAAAAGTAGATCCCTTAGTGGGGGTTCCTATAAAGTACCCGCCTTAATAGTATAGGGCCCCAAACTAGGGGAACGACTTTCTAGATCCTCCCGGGGGTCTGGGCAGCAATGGCGGAAGAGCACGGCTGAAGTCCGACGGCCCACGAAGAAGGACTGACTGTGACATGAACTGTAGTCAGTCTTAAGGTGCATGTATGTGTGCTGCTGCTACTGCTGCCGCTTCTGCTGCTGTTGCTGTTGCGGCTTCTGTTGGATCTGCCGCTGCCTGAAAGCGTAGCGGGTTTTAAGGCTTAAAGTTGCCGTTTAGGGTTCAACGTATGCATATATATATATATATATATAGACATACACATGCTTTAATACACAAGTAGACATATAATACATATAGATATATACATGCGTGTATGTATGTATATATATATATATGTATATACATAATTAGTATATAAATATGTGTATATATATGTATGTACATAATATGTTTTTCTTCGGTTTGAAGGGTGAGGTCTGAAGGTTGAGGCTTGATGCCATCAGGCAAAGGGTCTAAGGTTTAAGTCACACTACTACTGTAAGACCGAAGCCCATAGCACATGGGGCAAGGTGCGCATGGTCCTTAGCGGCCCTAAAGCCCCAAACAGGAGGCGGGTGGGATAGGGGGGGGGGAGGGTGGGGGGGGCGTAGGGGGGGGGGGGTTGGGGGGGGGGCGTAGGCTCCTACGTTGGCCTATGCCAGACATGCGCATTTGGGCCGAGGAGAGGCAGCGGAAGAGCTTCGAAGCCCCGACACAGCTTAAGCCCTTCAGCGGAAACCGGTAAACCCTAGGTCCAGAACTATGGAGGTAGGTGAAAATACAACAGCAAGCATCGTCTACGGTGCCCTAATTCCATGATGGTATTACACATGGACCCTCTTGGAGAGCCAAACCAAGAAGCTCAAATCTGAAGTCTCTAGCCAGGAATCCCTAAACCCCAATCCCCTAAACCTTAAACCCCGGGGGAGAGTATCCAGTCTCGGTTCCCTTAGTAGGCCCTTAATAATCAGGGTACCCCTTGTCCTCCTATTCAATTTCAGCCTGGATCCCTTCAATTGAACAAGGCAAAGGGGTACTACTTGGAAACCTACCAGTTCAGCAGTCGCAAGACCGTATAAACAGGCAACTTCACTGGCAAGCATACTGGTTCTGCCTTGACAGCCTCAACCCCAAACCCTAAACTCCCGCCCGATTCCCTCTGAGGGAACAGTGTAATATTTCGAAAATTAAAACAACTTTGGGGGTTAGGGCCTCTGCTTAAATTAAAGTCAGCCGAATGCTATGAGGTCCAAGCCAAGAAGTTCAGGATCTACGGTAGACCTACACCATGCCGGAAGGTGGCACCCTAAACCCAAATCCCTAACCCGCAAACTCTAATCCCTAAACCCACCTTGAAACTGACCCCAAAGTCCGTCCGAAACCCTGGGAACGAGTCAGTATGCTGCTGCTATGGAAAACAAGCAGATCCTCTCAAACACCAGGTTGCGAATGGGATGTCTGTGAGCAGTGGTAGAGTATAGGACATACCTATAGTCTCCATTGTAGTTCCTTTTTTTGGTTAACCAGTTTATGGTTAGGACCCTATAATAGAGATTTTGGTTAACCCAAAAACGGAACTCCAATGGAGACTGTAGGTAGGCCCTTTTGGGGGTAGACCTCTTCGGGCAAGACCTCCTAAGTTTTGTTCTCGGAGCTCTTTGGCGGAACGACGCTGATTCGATGGGAGGGCTTAGTCAGCAGGTTGTTCCTATAGTCTCCATTGTAGTCCCTTTTTTGGTTAACCAGTTTTATGGTTAGGACCCTATAGTAGAGATTTTGGTTAACCAAGGAAAGGAACTACAATGGAGACTATAGGTTGTTGGTTCTGCAGGGGCGGTGGTTACACATACAACCTGTTTTGGGCAATTTGGAGCCTCAAGGGAGAAATCGTGACTGACAGAAACCTAATGCAGGAATGAGAAGGAGTTGCATTTCTGAAGGGGCCAAACCAGACAACAACAGACTGGACTTGGTCTAGGGCCCTGTGGAGCCGTACCACGAAGTAGGGAGTTGGGTATGTAGAGCCTTAAGTTATTTCAGTACAGCTTCGGGGTATACTTTCTGATACTGTACCGAAGACTACACACAACTGAATAATCTTTGCATGCCCGTTTTGTAGCCTCAGGACTCCCCCCTTTTCAGCAGGACACACCGAGATAGCAATTAAATCACCTTCGCACGGAATTCGCGGCTTCAAACTTTAAACCCAAACCCTCAACACTAAACCCGAAACGATCCTAAAACCCTCAATCCTAACCCCCAAAACCCTAGACTCCTAAACCCTTAATTATAAACCCTACCAAACAAGGCACCTTCGCACGGAATTCGCAGCGAAAGGGCGAAGGCGATAGCTCCTCGCAAGCCACTTGCCTCGGCGGTCAACCCTAGACCTTGGGTTTAGGATTTAATCGTTTTTTTTTGAGGGCCCTTTTCCGTCTGCAGTGTTTTAAATCGGTTTAGGGTTTAGGACTTAGTCGACTTAGGGTTTAGGGTTTGTTTTTTTAAGTGCAGGCGATAGCTCCTCGCAAGCCACTTGCCTCGGCGGTCAACCCTAGACCCTTGACGCGCTTGGGTTTAGGATTTAATCGTTTTTTTTTTTAGGGCCCTTTTCCGTCTGCAGTGTTTTAAATCGGTTTAGGGTTTAGGACTTAGTCGACTTAGGGTTTAGGGTTTGCTTTTTTAAGTGCAGTGGCGTGTCTTTCTGTATGCATGCTCAGAGAGGGTTTGGGGTTTAGGGTTTAGGATTCAAGGCTTAAGACCTACCTATAGTCTCCATTGTAGTTCCTTTTTTGGGTTAACCAGTTTATGGTTAGGACCCTATAAAGGAGATTTTGGTTAACCAAAGAAAGGAACTACAATGGAGATTATAGGTAAGGTTTAAGACCTAAGCCATAAACCCATATTATATTAAACCCTTTGAGGTTCTTGGACGCTCGGCTAATGACTCTACCTGAAAGTATGGGAACAACCTGGCAGTTTCTGGTGGCCAAAGATTGTTCGCAACCTGTGGCGTGTAGCCGCGGTTTTCACGCTGCCAACCGACGGTACTCAACCGTAACGGACAAAGAGCTGAGTTGCCCTTGCTCATCGAAGTAGTCGACCACTTGTGCATGGAGAGGCAGCAACAATCTCGGTTCTGTCTGGAATTCCGAGAAGGGAACTAGCTCTTGTGCCGCTCCGCCTACGCAGCTCCAGACCAAAGAATAACGTGACGACTGCAAACTTCATGGCGGCTGGCAAAGCGCATCTCGATCGTTAACTGTTCCCTTCAAGTTCAGATACAATTAAACGCTAGAAGGGGTCCCCGCCCTGTAATAGTGGTATAATCGGAATATAATAGGGCCCTAATATAATCCTTACAGTCATTATTACAGGGTGGGGGCCCTAAGGAGTATCAGACTCCGACTGTGAGTCCTTTGAAGACTATCCGGCTCTGCCCTCCCTTGGCGCAAGCCCTCGAATGAAATCCTTGAACTCGCCTATCTGGGTTGATTGAACCACCCTTCTAAAGGCCCTATACCGCTGTCCCCTAGTAGGAATGATTTAAGAAGGTCTACTAGCCGGTCTGTTTATTCTTTTGGGGGAACCATGAAAAAGGACAAGGCTGGATTGAACCGCAGTGAACAAGTCGGGAATTCCTCCCGGACCCGTAAGTTGAAGTGGTTGGAAATCCTGCATTACCCATAATAAGGAATATACCATTATTCCCATTGCTTAGGGTCCTTAAGGTAATGCCGGATTTATATCATCAACCGTAGTATACGGTAGCTGGAACATGGATTTAGGACGATTGGTGCGGGGATTGCCTATACTTTACAGTAAGGTTGTGAGGATCATGATGTTCCAACTTTCTGGCTTCTGCTGTAGTCGCCTTAATAGTTAGGTTAGGGTTTTGGGGCGCACTATACTATAATTACTAGGATACCCAGTAACCTGAGAATAAAAAGGCCTCTCTTTTTGGTATTGGGTAACTTTATAAGGAACCTAGGACTACAAAAAGGGAATAAGGGTACTACTGGGCATCCTAGATAGGGAACTTTCCAGATGGTATTGGTAGTTAATTATTGAGGCCACAATTCTAGCGTGCCGGTTGACGGGGTTAGGGTTTAGGGCTTCGCGGTTTTAGGGTTGAGGGTCTAAACCCTACACCCCAAGACTCAAAGCATGTAGCCCTAAAGCCTACACCCTAATTCTAGACCCCTCAAGCCTTACCATCGCAGATCGAATCCAATGTCTGACTTCAGGAATTCTACTGATTTAGGCTTTCTCACTCTCTGCAGACACTGTCATGGGGGAATTTTCTTCAGAGAACCCCGATAGTACCCCTACCCTTAGGCTCTAAGGACTCATATTTTAAGGCTTTTTGGGCCCAAAGACCATACATGACCATACTATTTATATAAGGCTTTTGGGCCGTTTTGAGCCTTAGGGTAATAGATCCCCTAACCCTTACTGTACCCTTATAATTACGGATCCCCTTATTTCAAGAATCCATATAGTACCCGTACGGATCCCCTTAAAGAACCCTTATTGTACCCTTATAGATCCCTTCTAGTAGAAGCCCGAAGAAGCAGATGACAGCAACCCGTGGCATACGCAAAATAAATACATGTGCCTACATACATACACTCGGATATGCCATATGCGCACATAAAGACAACAAGCAGCGCAAACAGACATGCAAGCAGGCAGGCAGGCAGGCTGGCTGTCTGGCTGACTGACTGCCTGCCTGACTGCCTGACTGACTGACCGACAGACTGACCAACGGACGGCATGCATGCAAGCACAAACACATACGCTCATACATACGCATGTACACCTCTACATATAGTACACAATAAATGTTGCAAACCGGGCAACCGCCTTTCTGGAGCTGCAGTCTAGGAGTGTAACCGGAAGTAGTAGAGAGCTTCCTTTTGCAATGCAGCACAGGAAACCAATTCATACTAGCATGCGAGAAACTGTCCCGGGGTTTTGGGACTTTAAGAAGCAAACCCTACTCTCTCCCTAAACCCTAAACCCCTAAACCCTAAACCCCTAACCTTTTGCCCCTAAGCTCATGCACCTTTGAAACTTGTGCCCTTCTCCCTACACCTTGCTCTCCCAAAACCATTCGACCGTGCTTTAGTGCTTACCCGAAGCCCTGAAACACACATGGGGTGGTTTTGTCAAAATTAGGGTCCCTTTTTGGACCCTAAATTATTTGGTGCCGTACTGTATTAGGGACCCAAAAGGGACCATAATTTTGACAACAACCCACATCCTAAACCCCCCAAAAGGCAAGTACCCCAATTTTTCAGTAGAAACCTCGCGGGAACATCGGCCGAGCTCGAGGCACTGCACTCGGAAGCCATCATATTTGATCGGGACGGCCTTGCCATCCTCGACCATACTCTGGAGGCTGTCCATGATGTCGAACTTCAGGACTTGGCACCCACGATGCTCCATGAGGAGTCGGCCGAGTGTCATTTCCTTTGACAATCGCGGAGCCGCTTCTTCAGGGGCTGCTGCTCGTCCATGGTCTCGGACACTTTGAGGTTTCGAGCTCGGCCGGTCTCGCGGAAGTGGCACCACCATGCCTGACAGAAGGTTCAGGGCGACCAATCGTGTTGCTACTAACCCCGCTAACCATTAAGTTGCAGCATGCCTGCTTCGCGTTGCCAAGCATGTTCCACTTACGATTTGTATTAGTACCCAGGACGAAATGAACACTTTTCTGGGCCCCGCAAGGTAAGGGGATCCTTTGAATATAGCCCTAGGCTGAATTTTTCGAGTGCCCGGCCCACATGACGAGACTCATGTTGTTCGTGATTTTCCGACTCCTGGCGAGTGCATCAGTTCAGAGATGCGAAGAGCTCGAACGGTTGGGTCGCTGCAGTCGCTCAAACTTACCTTTGCTTAGTAGGGAATGGAGGAATGTGGTAGAATTATGGCTACTATTACTGCCATTCTTCCATTCCCTACTAACCACAGGTAAGCAAAGTCGCCACAACTGCGAAAGCTCACCATTACCCTTCACATTATTCTCCAAGAATTCTGAAGCCGCAGCCCACGAGAACACAATCTCTTCGCAACTGACCCGAGGACCGTAACATTCGGCATTGCCCGCCCCTGCTTGGAGATTCAGAGACTTATAGTAACTAAACCCTAAGCCTTAAACCCTAATCCCTAAACCCTAAACATGGCCATAGGTGGGGGAATGTGTGGAAGCCTGAAAATCAGGTTGGCGTGTCTTGATGCCTGGCAAGAGTCCAAGTACAAGTTACGTATCCTGAGTAAGTAGAACTGGGTTTTGAGTTTTCTTACAACATACGTAAAGGAATCAAGCATGAATCGGAATAATACTGGCAACCATTCAGCATCATCGTTTCCTATCATCGCAGTTTCTGATTCTGGGACTGAGGCTGTGGCTATCCGGGTTAACAGAAGGACCTTACAAGGACTTGGGCTTGGGCTCGAGCTCAAGTGACGCAGGGGGTGAGGGTTAAGAGTTTGGGGTTCAGGGTTTTGAGGATTTAATGAAAGTTTTGGGCTGCTGGTCTCTGGGGGCTCGCTTTTAGGGATAATTGAATCAAAGTCCCCTCCCCTTCAGGACTTTGCACCGGGGCTACGCGTGCTGCTGTTGCGTCGAGCCCCTCGCGCCTTCTGCAGGTGTTCAGCAGCAGGGACAGTGGAAAGACCTCGCATGCACTATGCCATCTGTTCTTCTGTGCGGCTCTCTGGGATTTTCGTGCTGAAATCAGATTTATGTATTTAATCAGACTGAATTGTTGTTGGAGGCCCTCTAAACTTGATGTAGGGCCCTTACGTAATAATTAGAATACTATTTTGGAGGTTCCCCAGCATATCCCAAGGCCCGAAACCCTATCCTAGTCCTGATCATTAGAAGGCATTAAGGCCCTTGTATTACATGATACACCACACGAACAAGAGCGAGGATCGGAGCATCTGATATGGGGAGACCCAACCACTAGAATGGGGCTTTGGGGTGTGGATAGCAGTATAACATACTGATCATAAGGAATTCTAAGCAAGCGGGATATAGTTATGCAGGCTTCCAGATGAGCAAGTTGTGATGATGCATTAGCCCATGTCTATAACCTACTTCCCATGATGACAGCCCTGAGGTACAGGAATGGATGCCTGGTCTTGCAATGACAAGCAAGCGAAAACACATCGTTTTGGGCGCATTGAAATTCTGCGCAGTAATTACGTACTACGTTCGGAAGCAACAGGTGACACTCAGTAAAAGTACCCCCTTAATTATTGCAGCCCAAGTATAATTTCTCCTTGCAGCATAACACGCACCCCTCCACCAAAACCCTATCCTCATCAACGCCGCTATCTGAGGCAGATGCATGCGCAGCACGCGCGACGGTGATCGCAATCAGCGAGAAGAGGATGCAACCGAAATGCCAATGAAACTGTCCAATCCTTGGCAAGCGGAGCCCTAAACCCTAAACTAAACACCAATGTTTGCATGTGCTTTAAGGCTTATGGGGGCCTGTCTATATGAGTTAGTCGGCACGCAGAGCCGGAATCTTGTCAGAGGCCGGAGCGTTCGGCCTTGGATGAGTCTAGTGTTCGTGCTGAGCCCCTGCACTGTTGGGTGAGGATTTCGGTTTTAGGGCTCTATATAGCAGAGCAGGTAACGGGTCATCATGGTATTGCATTTAAGAACCTATCGCAAATGGCACAAATATGTAAAATAATGTCTTCCGGTGCAAGTATTTCACCACAGAAGGCACATGGATCCTTCGAAATGGGGATCTCACCATCAAGTTCTCTGTTGCAAGGGCCCTGCATAACCCACATGTCGGATCCCTATGTTTATGCGGGAGGGGCATTGGAACCAAAGCAGCCAAGTGGCGAGAGGGCTGCCACAACGCCAAGATACACAAAGACGCAGGCCCTGCAGACGATGCACTTGGCCCTACAAAGCTTCTGACCCGGGAGAATAGTGTAGTGGCCTAATACTAATTAAAACAAGGTTTTGGGGTATCTTATACTTTAAGCATCAGAAGCAAACCCCAAAATACTTCTGGCAATTATTAAGGCCCGTATAGTATACGGGTTTAGTGGAGGGTTTAGAAGCCTTGCGGCTCGAAAATCTGTACGCCCTACCTCCAGCCACAACCTACCTATAGTCTCCATTGTAGTTCCCTTTTTGGAAAACCAAAATCTCTATTATATAGGGTCCTAACCAGAAAACTGGTTAACCAAAAAAAGGAACTACAATGGAGACTATAGGTACTTCCTGGAGGGAAGGAATCATAAGGACCCTTAGGGGGTTAAGGGGGAGAGGGGTAGGGCGCATTAATACCTATAATAAGGACTTAATAAGGCCTTTTTGGGGAAGTACAGTCCCCGACCCCCCTCCCCCCTACCCCCCCAAGGGTCGCTATGAAGGCAGGCAAACTCCGATATCGACTCTTGAGGACATGTCAAATCAAATGTGTGGGCTTATACTACTTGGCTAAACTCAAGAAGCAAAGTACAACACCTGAACACTTGGCAATTTGCGGGTTTGATTTGTTTCTTGAAGGACCTCCCTCAAAATACAACCCTGAACCCATTTTTTATGACCTTCGGAACCCTAAACCCTGAACCTTAAACCTTAAACCCTAAACCCCAAACCCCGAACCTAATATATGGGCCTTAATTAGAATAGGGTTTTGGGGGCCCATTATGCTATAACTATAATAAGGACCCCCCCCCCCCAAAATAGTATTGGTACTTATTCAGGCCCCTATAATACTTTTATGCCTTCCGGGCTGCGGCTTGGTGGGCGGATTCCGAAGGCTTCAGGATACCTAGTTGCTGGGGCTCCCTGGGCCAATCCAGGGTTTATATAGGGTTTAGGGTTTATAATATATTGAATAGAAAGGGCTTAAAAGTTTAGGGTTTAGGGAAGTTTGGGGTTTAGGGTATTGAATACTAAGAGAGTTGTTCAAGGTTACCTGCTCAACTTCTAAGACACCCGGGACTCTAAACCCGGAATGAGC